ATGGTGGTAGCTCCGGTGGTCACGGTGGTCCCCCTCAGTCCAGCGGCTACGGCGGTGGTGACTCCTACGGCGGCCCTTCCTACGGAGGTAGCTCCGGTAGCCACGGAGGGCCTTCTCACGGTAGCTCTGGCGGCTACGGCAACAGCTCCGGCGGCTATGGAGGCTCGTCTCAGGGCCACGGCCACCACGACTCCGACTCGGATGACGACCTCAACCCCGCCCTCTCGCACGCTCAATCCTCCGGTGGCTCGGGCGACAGCAGCCTGTTCAGCAGCGCCCTGTCCTTCATCAAAGACCAAAAGAAGAAGAAGGACTACAAGAACGACGAGGTCAACGATGACGAAATGGTTTCCGCGCACCAGTCGCTGTACAACGGCGGGTCTGATGACCGCAAGCACGACTCGAACTCCGTTGGTATGGGCGCTGCCATGCAGGCGTTGAAGATGTTTAGTTCGAGTGACTCTGGTTCGGGATCGGGATCGAGCTCAAGCTCAGGTGGTATGGATAAGAATAAGTTGATTGGTATTGCCATGTCGCAGGCTGGTGATTTGTGGGAGAAGAAGAACTCTGGTGGTCAGGCTGTATGTTCCCCCCATACCTTCCGAAGTTGATTGGAGTGATACTAACGAACGTGCAGAGCGGCGACAAGCAATCCGCCGTCAACTCGGCCGCTGAGATGGCTCTTAAGATGTACATGAAGGGCAACGGCAGCGGCTCGCAGGGCACCGGTGGCCCTAGCAGCTCTGGTGGTGCTAGTGGCTTGTTGAGCTTGGCGAGCAAGTTCATGTAATGGCCTTGACGAAGTTATGATTCCATTTTCATTTTGTACAGCTTGACTTGAATGTTCCTTTAAAGTACATAACCATATCTATGTTTGATACATATTGAATGAAATGAATGATGAAGATGAAACGCAATGGTATCATACGCTATGCAGGTGTAAAACATAAGCAAAACACCACCCTGACTACAGTAAGTAGCCGAAAGAATACAAATCTCAAAAACAGAAACAGAACAATGTCCCAACTCAATGCAGCGGCAATGCAGCGGACAAAATAAAACAACAACACGAAAAGTGGGGGAAAACAAGAAAAAGTAGAGAAAACCTAAAGTAACAACATCTCATACTCCTCCCAACTCAACCCCCCCAAAAACCTCATCCCCCTCTCCCTCGCACCACCCACAACACACCTCCCATCATCCCCCAACTCTTCCTCCCCAGCCTCAATTCCCTTTCCCCAAGCCCTCCTCTCAAACTCCATAAACCCACCATACACATCATCAGAATTCGCAACCCAGATCTCCCCGCCGTCCGGACTGAAATCCGCGCCGGCAATTTCGCCGAAGAAATCATGCACTTGTCGGGTTGTGTATGTCTGCGCGTCAACGATTGTGATTCTGTCTGCGGGTTCAGTCATGAGTAGTGTGCGGGGGCCGCCGCCGACGGGGGAATAGCGGAGGGACCGGTAGCCAGAGATATCGGAGGAGAGCATGGTGAGGGGTTTCCACATGCGCGCGTCCCAGATTATGGTTATTTTGTCTTGGTTCCCCGTCGCGACGTGTAGCATGTCGGGTGACCAGGCACAGGCGAAGCCGAAGTCGCGGTGGCCGCGGAGGGGTTGTACCGGGCGGCCAGTGTCTGCTTCGATGATGAGGGCGTCTGGTGAGTCGCCTACTACCACGCGCAGGCGGCCATCGGGTGATGTGGAGGTGCAGTTTACGGCGCGGGAGAGGTCGTAGTCGGAGATGAAGGTGTCAGTTTCGATGTCGAGGGTGCGGAGGTGGTTGTCGTTGGAGGCGAAGATGCCCATTGGGTTGCGGGAGGTGCGGTGCGGGATTATGTCGATGTGGTTGGTTATGCCGTTGAGGTCGCGGGTGACGAAGCCGTGGGTGCTGGGGGTGGATGCTGGGGTTGTTGTGCCGGGTATGAGGGTTGTGGATGTGGTGTCGCCTTCGGCGCGGATGGCGTATTCGCCGGCGAATCCGCCTACGATTGAGACGCCGTGGGCGGTTTTCATTGTGGAGATCTTGACGGGGCTATGGAAGACGCTGTTTTCCCATGTTGTCGGGCGTGATAGGTCCATCAGACAGGTTAGGTCGTCGTACGCCGGAATCCAGGAATAAAGCCGCCATTCACTAGCAAAGTGCACCGTGTTATACGCCGGGACAGACATCAAATTGCGCAGCTGGAAATGCTCAATCGACGCCCGATGCTTGCTGTACATGGCCTTTTCGCGAAAGTAGAACTCATTCGGCCGTATCCTCTTGGCCGTTTCATGCGGCGTGTGCTGCAAGTTCATGTACGGTCGATACCACAAATCGCGCTGCGTGCGTGCGTCTGCGCGCTTAGCTCTCAACGTCTCCCACCAGGGGATCCGCTGGAGATCGAAAAAGTCCACTCTGTCATCGCCGGCGGGACGGACGACTTTTTCTGGGCGATTTGCGCTGAGGAGGATTGAGCTGCGCTGTGGTGCGATGAAGAGTTGGTCACTTCCGATTTGTGCATGTGACTGGCACACCCATTGTTGGACGAACTGGTCGATAGTGAAATTCCGCTCGTACGCTTTGCACTTGTCAGTTTCTTTTATTCTTTTCATAGGGAATGGGAACATACTAGTCACCGGGAACTCATCATCAAGCATCGCCATATTGTGTGCGCCAACATTCAGCATTCCCATTCCACCACCACCACCACCAATAACAATCTCCTCTCCGCCCTGGCCGTCATCTTCATTCTCATTCTCCTCAAGCCCATTCTCATCAGCCTCCCCCTCACCCAAAAAATTCATACTATACTGCGAATTCATATCTCCCCCTCCCCTTCCCCCTCCGTCCGCCTCTTCCTCAAAATCATCCTCATCAAACATCTGCGCCATGCGCGTCAGCCCAACCCCCTCATCTTCAAAACCACGCATCCCTGCCCCCGCAGGCCTTGGCCCAAAAAGACCAATCCCCGGAGTACCATCATCATAACCATCATCATAGTCATAACTGCCCCTGCCCCCCCGCGGATGACCAATAGGATCAAACGGATCCGGATCCGGCGCCATAAACTCATCTCCCTCCGCGCCCCTATCCTCCTCCCTAAGTATCCCCACCGGCGAAACAGATCTTACATCCCCAAGCGGCGACTCAATCTCCACTTCGCTCCCGCGGCCGTCTTCTGCCGTCATGATCATCCAGCGACGGCGATCGCTGCCGCGACGGACCTGTCCGTAGCCATAGCCTGTGGTGAAGGGGTCTTCGGAGGAGTTGTGGCGGCGCGAGCGGAGGAGTTCTTCGTCTGTTTCGAGTTCTGTTTCTGTGTTGTTATTTGTGTTTACCGGGTTTCCGGGATTAAATCTTGGTAACGGGTCGCGATTGATCACGGCGGCGTTGACGACCTCGGACACGGGTTGCGGTTGCGAGTCCGAGGGGATGGCGTAGGGGTATTGCGAGACGGCGGTGAATGCGGAGAGGGAGTGAGGATGGGGGCGGGGATGGTTGAGGGCATCCTGTGGAGTCATGTCGTCGCCATGGGTGCTGTCGTTGGTGTTAATACTCGAGGTGTTGCGGTGGTGAGAGCGAAGATGGCGAGGACGGTGATGGTGATGATCACCTGCGGCGATGACTAGAAAGTCACATGACGGCGCAGCGGGGTGAATACGAGTATCACTAGTATAAGAAGGAAAATGATTCCGAGACGAGACAAAAGAAGAAAATGGTAAAGAGGAAACAACTCCCCGATCTTCTTGTTGAGACATGCCAGAATAGCGCAGTGATCAGTCTCTTTCCTTCTATGCAGAAAAACAGGGAATATATGTATCTCGGCTGTCACGTCAGCGATTTGCAGTTGACCACGTTTTCTTTGTGAACTTTGTTGGGCTCGGAGTGGGCTGCGATCGACAGGTGTCGGAATTTTGGAGGGAATGCTGCATTTTAAAGCAAGTGAGGCTGAAGGCACCCCGCTGCCTTCACTGCAGAATGGTCATTTGTTATGGACGAGGTCTGAGTGGACAGCAGTGTGGACAGTGTAGATGACAATGCATTGGTTTTGTCCCACGTGAGATGTGATTGCTCATAAGTGTACATTAGGCTCGGATCATAGGTCAAGAAATATACAAAGCACGGAAACAGAAACCTCCCATTAGATGGGAGACATTACATTAAATCAATCAATCAGTCGTAGCACATTCCATAATAACATCAATCGTAATTCCCATGTCCATAGGAATACCCATGCTGGACTTTTCCAGCTTGAAGTTGGAGACGTCGATCTGCATCAGTCAGTACAAACCCCATAAACACGCAAAAGAAAAAGAAGGAAACATACCTCTCTCAAAATCCCTCCACCTCTTCATCGTAATCTTCGTACTATCAAACTCTCCCTCAACATCATTTCCCTTCTTCTCTTCGCCCGCTGTCTTCCTCGTATCACCCCAGCTGAAATCATCAAACTTCCAGTACGCGTATGTCGGCAAGACAAAGTTCCATATGGGCAGGGAGAGAAGGTAGATAAACATCCACAGGACGTATACCAGTCGGTGCGCAGTCACGATGATTAACACACCAGGTAGACCCAAGATTAGTGCAAGCAGGACGAGTGGAATCACTTGCACGGGTTTGTTGACGATTGACGAGATGACGACGTAGAAGGTGAAGGCAATAGCGGCGGGAAGGACGAGTGTGCCGACCAACTCGATGAAGACGACAAACTGCATGCTGAAGCAGAATGTCCCACACAGGTCGCGCACGAGCATGAGTTCAAAGAGGTTGTGGACGGTACTGTTAATCCAGCGGCGGCGCTGGGACAATAACACGCGGAATTTTTCAGGAACAACGGTTTTGCAAACAGCCTGCGGGACGAAGACCTGTTTGCGCTTGGGGAAGGTTTTGAGCATTAGAGTCGAGAGGTAGCGGTCTTCGCCTAGAAGGAGAAGGTTCTTCTTGTGTAATGTGTCAACTACGTTTTCGGAGTAGTGTTCGACGACGTCTGGGTTAGCGAGGATGGGAACCCAGTAGTTTTGGCCTCCTTTTGGTGCTTTGATGCGGTACATCGAGAAACATCCGGGAAGGCAGGTGACACCACCGAAGACAGACTCGAAGGATTTGGACTGGTGGTGGGAGATGAAGTACTCAAAGACTTGGATCATCGTCACCCAGCTTTCTGTTTTGTTTGCAATTTTCGTCTCGCCGCAGAGACCCATTACTTCGGGGTCTTTCACCATCGCAGAGATCATATGCGTCAGACTGTCCGGGAACACCTTGGTATCTGCATCCACCATGAGGACGACCTCATAGAAATCAGGCGGTATACCGGTCACATTCCAGAGGCCGTTGAACATCTCAAACTCCAGCTCCGTCATCCGCTCATCAAACATGACTTTCTGCAGAAGCGCCATCAAGATGATCTGACTATCCCGCTTTCCACGGTTTCCCGGCTTCGCAACCTTGGACTCTGGCCGCGTGCCGGTCTTGACAATGATCATCATCGGGACGCGCTGCTGTTTGTCTGGTGGTACGACTGATGATTGACCATAATCGTAAAAGCCTGCGTAAACCTTGGCCATATTATGGCGCTTCGATCCCGTCGCGACGGCAACGTAGGAGAACGACTTAACCGCATCACGAGGAATAATAGGATCCTTCATCATGCGAAGAACAATCTCCGGAGTCGAGTAATCTTCACCTTTACCCTTGATAATCCCATCGCAAATGACGACCATTGTTTTGTGGCTATTGGGGTAATCAGTCATGGCGACTGAGTCAAGCGTAGTCCTGATTCCATCCTCTCCTTCAGAGTAACATGTCACTAAGCATATAGCATGTGCCAAGGGGAACCCATATGGCTGCCATTCCGGCGGTGGTTGAGGGACCACTGCTGAGTGGATGATTCCTCCTGGTCCTCCTGCAGTATCTGCTTCTGTGACCTTGTCGGTTACTGTACCACCGATGCTGCCTTTAGGGCTGTTATATAGATCCGCGGACGCAGCTGCGGGTGGCATAAGCCGTGACGTGGAATTTTGACTGGCCATGGTGACATACGGAACTCGTTGCTTGCCGGCACTGCTGCCGGTGTAAGGACTTGAGAATCGCGAGGTGGTCGGTAGGAAGCTAGCCCTCTTGCTGGGTCGATCGGACAGGGGATCTGCAAGACGCGGTCCCGGACGGTAGATATCGTTTGACCAATCCTCAATCTGTTGATTCCGTGTCTTGGAATCGGAGCCCATACTCGTCTTCTGCGCTGCAAAGCGAGGAGCCAGGAACCATTGGAAGAGAAGCGCAAAAGCGAACTTGACAATGACGATGGAGAGAATGAAGACCAGGGAGACGTAGAGGACGACCTTTGACGCGATACATCCAACCGTATCCGTGTCGATACTTCCGACTTTGACGATTTGGGAGAGACACTTCCCTATCTGCTTATCCTGGCCGTTTTGCAGGTAGTACGTTAAGTCGACGCCGCGAACATCGGAATTGGTGCGAAGTTCTTCGAATTTGGACGGGTATTGGACCTGTGAACCGTTCATCCATCGGAGAAGATCAAGGTCTAAAACATTTCCGGAGTAGACGGCCAAGTTCCGACTGGTGTTCTTGGTATCCTCCCACGTATAATAAACGTCTCCCTCACTCTTCATGCTCCAGAATTGATTCCGGGCCGTGCCCGAAGTATGGCACGCCCAGCCGGCATAGTAAGACTCAGTCTGATTAAGCTCAGACGAACCATCTTGGTTAAACGCTGTGCAGGGAAAGTACCAAGCCACATCTCCATCACTATTGGAGGGCACATCCGACCCGTCAGCTAGAGTAATAAGACCCTTGCAAGCACCGTTGACTTCCTGGAAGAAGAAACTCCCATCTTGGCCACCATACTTGTGAGGCAGGTCGTAGAGAAGGTTCGTGTTGTCAGGAATACCAGCAGCGGCTGGATGCTCGAACTTGGTCAAATCATAAGCCGACCCCTGGAAGACCATGTAGTTGGTGTTGATCTGGTTGATTTTCAAACGGAGTGGCGGCGTCCCACAGACCGTAGCCGTGAATCCGAATGTAAGGAAACCGACAAATGCCGCAATCATGAGGATAATAGAAATCAGACCCATTTTCTCCCGCCAAGCACTCCGTTGCGCCTTTTGCGGCATTCCAAAGCATTCTAGAACAAAATCCGGCGCCCAAAACGTGATAAGAGCACAATAAGCTGTCCACGGACTAGGTGGCCGGACCTGTTCCATAGCATCCTGTCGTTTTTTTTCCTCTATCCCGGCCTGCTTCGACACTTTGCGAGATACCCGTCGTCTCTTGCGTTGTCGTCGTTCGATCGGTTTCCTAATCTTTGTCGGTTGATCCTCCGCACTGTGTACACTATCCGAGTCATCATCGGGAAGAGGCTCGTTTCCCGTTGTTGATGGATTAACAGGCATATTTTGGGAGTGTTGTTGGTAATAGTAAGTCGGATGGCTGGGGTCGATGCGACTGCGCTCTGGTTTGACTAGGTTTCTTCTGTGGCGTGTGTCCGCGCCGGGCATGTTTCTCTCTTCGTCGACATCTCGGGAAGGTTCTGATCTGTGAGAACTGCCATAGTGATAACGACGATGTCGATGGGAGGAAGTAGATCGGTGGTAGGCGTCGCTATCGCCTTCGGTCTCGCTATCCCGGCGTCGTCGTCTTCGCGAAGGGTCTCTATAGACTGCACGGTCGTCGCGCCGGGGGGAAATATTTCCCGGGCGTTGTGGTAAGGACATTATGCTGGAATGTGTAGCATGAACGGCGATGCGAGGGTCGTAGACGGTTTGTTGTTATTCATGGACAGGTGTTCGTTCAATCGTGATCAGTCGTGCATCGCATTCGTAATGTCGAGACAATCCTTTCAACTCTGGATCTTCAAGTCAGCATCAGGCACAGCCAACGATGCGACAGTTCTGGCCCAAATAGAAAGACGAGCAGACCTGGCCAAAACAGATCGCACCACGGACCAATTATGCCTAATTGGGGATAGTATGTTTGTCACCTGACATCATATCCGTCGCGAGGGGCAATCGACCCATCACCCCACAATTAATGGACCTGAAACTTGGCCAGATCGGGTAAAGCGGGGAAGTAACTACCGTCCGATCTTTATTCACTTTTACGATACGGTACGGGTTGGTATCATACAGCTGCATTTGGGGTACTTCTCAGCATCAAAAAGCAATACATTCATGCCTAATATGTAGAATCCCAAAGAATTCGGATCAAAGGGGGAATTAATGCGAGGCGTCAGCAATGCTATTTCAGGCAGACAACTGGCAGTAATCTGCGCCATTTCTTTGTCGGTGAATAATGACAGGCATGTACAACAAAGAAAGCCGTCATCAGCACCATATACTAATCCCCAGGATACGATGAGAACAGCCAATGCAGGCACATGGTTAAAGTTCAAGAGGAGGGCTCCGGAACACGATGTCAAGTGGATTAATTGGACCTGGACAGCTGGATAGCCAGTGAGGCAAGCAAACAGCTGTTCTGCGGCTGATTCGCTTCGGTTTATTCGGGATTGTCTGCCCTTTATTCACTGCTAGCGATGATGTCTTTGTCAGACTTCTATATTATCATACTGTCCACATATTTGACGTCTGAGAGTGCATTGTAAGTGTTGCACAATTGTCGTCGAATACCCTCCATGTGACCAAGTTGATATCTTGCTTTTGTCTTGGAGTCATTGCATCGCGCTGATTTGTTCATTGCCATATTCTTGTTTGAACAGAACCATGGAATACGTTGAGCGGCCTAGAAGCTGCTACATCCCTCGCAAACCAATACCTTGGAATGCGCAACTCGAAGACGCCCCCCACAGAAATTCATTCGCATCCAGCAGCGGCTCATGGTCTGTCGTAAGCGACAGTCTAGATAGCATCGCGCTGGGCGATAGCTTCTCATCCGGATCAGAACGAGCTCGACACTCGCCCAAAGACTATCGCGCGTTTTCATTTTCACGGCTCTCCACAGCTTCGCCCGGTTTTCAAGTCTCATGGCTCGAAGGATACTCTCAGTCCAGTCCCGCAGTCAATCCAGGGAATGCGCATCTCCGGCCGTCAGACGGGGACAAGGCATCCCTGTTCCGTAAAAAGCAAACGTTCGACATGTACCTTGCAAACGTAAAGAAGACGGACAACGCCAACGTGCAGTACGAGTTTGCGCTCTTTCTCCTCGATTCTATTCAGAACCGGTCCACGGAGTCTACCGAGATGACACCGGATCATTTACGAAAAGCAGCAAAGTCGATCCTGCGACGCCTATCCGACCGCAGTCATCCACATGCGCAGTATTATCTTGGTGACGGGTACGCCTCCGGGCTGTTCAGCAAAGGGGCAGAGGACTACGACCGCGCATTTCCGCTCTTTGTCGCAGCTAGCAAGCACGGCCATGTTGAGGCGTGTTATCGTGCAGCTCTCTGCTATGAGCTCGGGTGGGGTACACGAGTCGAAGCTGCGCGCGCAGCACAATTTTACCGACAAGCAGCATCAAAGAACCATCCCGGCGCGATGTTGCGGATGGCACAAGCTTGTCTGACGGGGGACATGGGACTAGGACGGAAGCGATACCGCGAGGGAATCAAGTGGATGAAACGAGCCAGCGAGTCGTCTGACATGCAGTATAATTCTGCACCATATGAGCTAGGATTACTCCATGAGAGTGGATATGGCAATGATGTCTTCCCAGACGCCTCATATGCCGCACAGTTATTCACCAGATCCGCTGAATTGGGCCATGCAGAGGCTAGTTATCGACTTGGCGACGCGTATGAGCATGGGAAACTGCACTGTCCACGCGATCCGCAGTTAAGTATCCATTACTACACATGCGCTGCTGAGCAGGGACATCCATTAGCCATGATGGCTATATGTGCTTGGTACCTGGTCGGAGCGGAGCCGATCTTGGAACAGGATGCGAATGAAGCGTATGAATGGGCCAAGCAAGCAGCGGACTTAGGTACCTTGTCCATGGAATAATGGATGGAACATGTCACTGACACCTGCAGAGCTACCAAAAGCACAATACGCCGTTGCATTCTTCACAGAAACGGGCTTAGGCTGTGAGCGGGACCCATTCGAAGCCAGCGCTTGGTATGTGCGCGCGGCCGATCAGGGCGATATCCGAGCGAAACAGCGAATATCCACGATCCGTGCAGCGGGCGGGTTCGACGTGGATGAGGGGCCTTCGAAGGGGAAGAAACGAACGGGTACGTGTGTCAAGCTGTCAGTGTCAGTTCGGAATCATATGCTAACTATGCTAATCCAAACAGATGAACATCGGCCAAAATGGCTAGGGATTTTTTAACACTCACTTGAAATTGGTGTTGGATATTAAAATTACTTGCATGATACCAGGCGGCTGTCTTTTCTATCGTTTATAACAACATCTCATATGTATTGTATTGTATTTTAAGCGAGTCTCCTATGTTGAGACTATCCCGATTCGGAAATCCAGGCACCGGCCAATAACCTCCTGTCGATCAGTTTCCAAAAATACCCGTTATCAGAGCTTCCTCCTATCTTCTTCAATCCTTCTCTTCCTCTTCCCTTTTTTTCCTTCTTCTCTTTTTTTCCTTCTTCTCTTCTTCAATAATTCCACGTTCCTTCTGCCTCGTGCCTCAATTCATTCCTTTCAGGTACGTTTTTAATCGAATAGACACATTCCATTCCATCTTTGACGTTGATGGCTGGTCCACCGCGTGTCCCTCCACCACCATACCATCCCTTGTTCTATTCGTTCCTACGTTCACTGACAGCTCTCTCCAACAACCAGATCTATCTTCGTCAGTCGTTTCCGAAGAACTATCCAAGACAAACCATCACAATGCAATTCCTCGCCGCTCTGACCGTCCTCGCCACCGCCACCGTCGCGGTCGCCCTGCCCGGCTTCAACATGGGCCAGGCGTCTTGCCAAGCCGTACGTTTTCCCGCAAACTCGAATCCATATATATATATCTCTCTCTCTCTGGGGGATTTATCACTAATGGGTATTATAGGGCGGGGACCATTGCACCAACCTCACCATCGCCAACGCCCACGGCAGCACCTGCTGTACTCCTCTCGTCTGCGATGAAGGCCGCGTAAGTGGCTCCATACACGACAGAAACGGATAGACAAATGAACGCGAAGCTGATAAGTGACCAACAGTTCTGCCGCCCTCGTTACTAGATTATCTCGCCTGCAATCTAACGGACCGGATAAATGGACAAGGGGGATGGAGTATAGTACATTACATACGTGCGGTGCGTGCAGACTTGGCCATTATGAAAAGGAAATAAATGGTTATTTGCGGCCGGTCGGTTGGTCTGTGGATCAGTAAAATGCGTATGCAGGTGTTTGCTGGCGAGTTTCATTCGTTGTATTTAGTTAATACTCTTCAAGGAATATTAATGTCTGCGCATTGCCGTACTTGTTGGTATTTGGTCTTCATGGTGCCCAGGTGACATTGAGCATTTTACTTCATCAAATGTCATCTTGTTGGCGCATACTATGTGGACGATGAAGATATATCAACCTCAACGCAAGAGCCGCATTAAGAGATCCCTAGCTCACTTTGCCACTTCTTTCGTCCTTATCTACGCCGTTTTAATATCGAAATTACGATGGGCGAATCACAAAGACAATTTATTTCCTGCATGAATGTTGATTCTGAAACACTAAAGACAGGAACCCGCTGATAGTCGGCCGAGCTTAAACTCCAGCAGTGAAGAACTCTATACAACGACTTAACAGCAACCATGAATCCTCCATTGACATCTTGCACCCGGTTCATGACAAGCCAAAGCAGCATATCGGCAAGCCCTTATCCCAGACTCGCTAATCACACCAGTAACGAAACTCCCTATCAGCCAACAGTTGGAGGAGACTTACAACCCAATCAGCCTAATGAGACCTAACATGCCGGTTAACGAGCTGTTGCGCCTCGTTATTATTGCTAGCAGCCTGGCCCTTGGTCTTGACTTTCTGGACACTCGAGACCAAAATGATAGATCTGTTTTTCCTGGCCTGGAACTTGTTGTGAGACCATGTCTTTATATTGTCGAGAACGAATTTGTCTTTGTCGTTTGGGATATTCCCGGCGGCCTTTTGTTCGACGCCGCCGTGTCCAGATACGCCGCCTTCCGTATAGGTTGTGGAATAGGAGATTCTGGAGGCGAAGACCTGGGTGGCCAGGAACAGGGTTGCGAGGAGGAGAAGCTTTAGGTTGAGCATATTGATTGATTGTCGATGTTGGGCTTTGGTTTGTTGTAACTGGATGATGCGTTGTGAGTGCTCTGGAGAGCCTTCTTGGTCAATGGCATTTCTAATGGCTCTTATATATCATCCTCGTCCTCCTACAGCATGTCAGCAGCAACCAAAACCCCTCTCAAGTGACGCATCGTCTCATGCTCGGTAATTTACTGGTATAGCAGCAGCATGGGGAAGGATAGAGCGAGACAGAAATTCTCATTCTGAGGCTCTGAGTTATCCACTGGACGGGCTTGGTTAATACCCCTAGATGTCAAAGTATACCCTACATTATCTACCACACGCGTTCTGAGACACTGAGACTCTTTAAGCATACTTCATCTGTCGAATTCTCCGTTGCTTCGCTCGTCCTGCACTGCCATTATGTGCTATAGGGGTGGTACTGCAGTGTAACGACGTGAAGAATCCCCAATGCTGATCTGTGGTAAATATTCCGGGCTGATTCTTCTACTTGGGGGGGGGGGGGGGGTTCTGCAGCCATTTGAGGCTCTGGGATCGCTGTTACATGCGTGTGTATGACATGTGAGGGAGTGAGATTAGTTGACATACTAATTGTCTGTCTCGTCGTCACCATCATTGAAGATCTATTGCACTTTCATACTAGTGCTTACGCTGGCTGACCTCACTGCAAAAGCACTCCTCTCTAATTCAACTGCATCGCCAATATCAGGGCAGTGAATCTACTGGCTAATCCAAAAGTAAATGACACATCTCTCCTCCATCTGACATCCCTCCATAGAGACTCCTCCATATCATCCAAAATTTTATCCTGCATACGTTTGTTGGATATCCGAGATCATGGCATCCATATTCCCCCTCTTCCCATCCCTCCCCGCAGAACTCCGCCACCAAATCTGGCAAGACGCCCTCCCCGACAAAATCCACCAACCCCTCTACTTCTACAAGAAAGGCTGCTGGACCCCGCGCCTCGTAACAGAATCAGACCCAGATTACGACTTCGAAAACCCCCACCTAAACCTAAACTTCGAATTCCGCCACGAGCTACTAGACGACATTGAGTTCGAAGTACCTCTCTTCTACGTTAACCGCGAGGCTCGTGGTTTCGCCTTAGCCTGGGTTCGCGAGCAGGGGCTTACTATACGGTTTCATAGAGGGAGAGGGTGCGTTGTGTTTGTTCGTGCGTTTGATCCCAAGCATGATACGTTGTATGTTCCATTCAATAAATGGGACGAATTCTTCCGCGAGCCGTTTGATCGAAATTTTGAACCGGATCTTATGGAAAGAAATGTTAATCTTCCCGGTCCGGCGTTTACGAGGGTTGCTATGCCTGAGGCCGTGCTGAGGAGTGAGGATAACTCGCTATGTGAGTTTTTTGATTATTACGTTAGTGTTCGGGAGGTATTTGTTATTGTCGATGCGCAGCCGGATTTGGATATGCAGCCTGAAGATGACGGTGGAGATGACGACATGAGGTTGCAGCAAAGGTGGGAGATTGAGAGTGGTGCACTGAGAGCGAGATTCTTCTGGAATAATGACCGTGAGGGATTTGAGTGGGCAGACAGGGAGGATTTCGGCGACAAATCCCTTTGCAAGTTCATTCAGGAGGCTAGTAATGAGGTGGGCGAGAAGCTTGTGGAGAACTGGAAGCGCGTGTTTGAGGTCCGGCCTGTCTTTGCTGTTAGGAAATGAGGGTGTGTTGTCTCATCTGACTTTCTGTACGGTTCCAACGCTATGTGCCAGTGTCTACTCCTCAAAACATACGGGCCGGTGGCCAATTTATGCCGCAAGTATAGCAGACATTCTCTCCATAGACCATTTACCCAATCACATTCTACAATCAACTAGTCATCTACTAGCAGTGCTTGTTTGTGCTCTGTTCTGTCGAGTTCCATTGATTTTATGTATTCAGTTGATACTTTCAACGAATATTGTTTCTCAGTCTGTATTGGAATTGGCCGATGTAACGACACCTTTTGTTCTGTCGCTTGTTTCTAGAGTCTGAGGACATAGTCCGTGACAGCGCTTCGCTGAACCCTGCTTGACAGTAAAATTTTGCAGGAAAAGGATGGATCAATCGCTTGATGCATCAGAACAAGACGTCCACAAACCGGCCCTGCAATAACTCTGGCTTCCTTTGCCAGTTGATTTGCAACAAACAGACATTGACTTCATAGTCACGATCATCCGGGCTGTTATGTGCGGTTCATTAGTTGTGGGTTTTATCTTCTCTGGAACTTTTAACCTCGTTCCGGTTTTGCTGGGCATTGAATGGTGTAAATTGATGTTTCGCTAGCGTAGTGATGGATCTGTGCCATAGGTCCTGTGGTCATCGTGGATCTTTGGGTAGGGCTGACTTGCTCTCAAGCAAATAAACAACTGCTTGGGCAGAAGCCCACATTGCTTGTGTCTTGCGTTTTATATCACATTCGGCAGACAGGTCGTAAAGAGATCACAAAAGAGGATGCTCTTGACCGAGATCAAGAGGAAAACACACGATCATGTGTTCGTAGCCCATTGCCCTGTTCTGTTATCAGTACTTCTTCAGTCTCGTTGTACGGCAGTGGATCGGTGGTGGGCGCATAGAAGTACCTTATCCAGAGTACGGTTGTTGAAGCCCCTCTGGGGAGTGAATTCTGCTGTCTGGACATATCCTCCCAATAACCTTGGTTCTTTCCACTACGGACCGCTGCCATCTTCTTCCATCTAGTGTTGCGTTTCCACTTGAATGTTTCAAGCGAGAGGAAGACATTGAATCTGACAGCCACGCGATTTAAATGTATTGAGTGGGACCTCGGCCAAGACTTCGGTTGGGGGGATAGCCTGTACGTGTCATGATGATCCTCCTTGATTTAGACGTCCCATTTCGCAAACGCGGCTCGCGTGGGAATTCCTTTGGGCGGGTCGTCGTGTGAAGGAGAAGTATTCCTTCTGCCAGAAGGACTATGGTGGATGCGACAGTTAAAGAATTGTAGTTAAACTATCCCTAAAAAAATGGTCCACTGCTTTGGGATCGCCGCTCGCAACACTTCATCAAATCCTTACTTGGCAGAGTCCATACCACCGTACCAGACACTCCAAGAACATTTCCTTTTCTTCCTCAAGCCATAGTTCCGCATCTAATTAAAGCCGAACACATATTAAAGATTCCTAGCATAGGCGACTTCGCCCGGCTGTTGCATATACACTAACGTAAAATGCGTAACCGGGTAGCTTGACATTACCAAGGGGCGAGTAACCGTCAACATAAGAATTGAGAATTCCTCGCATAGGCGAAAATCGTTCGTATGATTGAAACACGACGCATATATAGTTCAGCAGTGAATTGCCAGTGTGTGCATGGAATTGACGGTTATTGTCGCACAGAGAAGCCCGTATCTTTTCCAGTCCTGTTCGAGCCTCGTTGGAGGGATTTATGGCCCGCAGACTGCTCTTAACGCTGCATATTGTTTATCGACAGGAATTGTGTACAATCGCTGGAGTCATGTTAGGGCATAAGCGGTGTATAGGGTATTTAGGATCACGCCTTGAGAATCCTCCCCGGTCCTCTTAGCCTCGACAATTGCTAAGTTACATTCCATTTTACCGAAAAGGCGCCCAGATAACCACCATTTCTCATACCTTTCTCAATTTTCCTGGACCTCTGGTCCCAGATCATCAGATTTCACACTGCTACCACAAATAACCTGACGATTTGGGCCAGGCTCGTCCAACACTGCTCATAAAATATGATCAACGAAGCAGCTGCAGGCTTGTAATTGTGGTTTTGCTGACCAGAGAACCTTGTATATAGACAAGCTCGACGCCGAAATCCTGTCAAGTGCACTCTTCGCGGGGTGTACGGCCTTGAAGAACTATCGGCATTAATCAGTAACCAGGGTTGAGCATCAATTAAAGGGTAGCCAAATCATTCACTTACCAACTAGGATATAATGGGACATCAATTATGCTTGATTCCGTAATGCTGGATTTATTCCAGCGGCCTCGTCACCTTGTGTTTGTGTTTCCTTGCCTTTTGGACTCGCAAGGCTACCTTCAATGCTTCTTCGTCTATCAATATTCCTTTGAGGTCCTTATTCAGTCCTTCTGTCTTGACTTTTCTTTGGTGGTATTTGTATACGAGAATGCAGCAAAAAGGCGGCACGTCAATATAGGGGTAAATGGTACGGATGTTCAAAAGGATTTTCCGTTCTGCAAAGGTCAGCATTTCTTGTCCAATCGGTCGGAGCATCCCTGTCCAAGGCATTATGGCTGCATGTTACCTACTATAATGTGATGCAATCACTGAAGGAATGCTTCCAACATAACGGGCTTCAAAGTGAACATCATGTCACGGGCTCGGAAACTAGCAGATAAAACGAATAAAATTCATATCTGGACTAGGTAGCCTAACAACGAGAATATCGAATCTGGGGAAGAAGAAGAAAAGGAAATCTATCTAGGCGATGAACGGTCTTTATAGGCATTTGTGTGGTGCGGCTTAAGCCCTTGTTTGCCCATATTGCTTGTATGGCATCGTTTGATATGTTGGCGCTGTTTGTCTGGCCTGTTTGTTGTGCTTTGACAGGTTTCTTTACAACATGCTCAGTAAAATCGGTTTGGTTGTCCGATGACCCAAAAAAGCTCATCCGGCACCCGTTATTTAGCAAGTTTCTAGCCCTATTGACAGTATTCAAGCGGCAAGGAGCATGACGACAATTATCGCTGCAAAGCCTTCCATGTCACGACGCTTTCTTGTGTCCCATGGGCCGTACGTCTGCATCTTTGCAAGACCAGCATTGGCGACAGGGCCATCCTTCAGATAGCCTGCCCACTGCTGGGCGTACTCGAAAAACGACAGAGGCATCTCATATGCAGTCTGAGAGATACTAGGCCATCTTTAATAGCCAGGCAATGTCAGATATGTTTGATTCAGATTCCAACCCACCTGTACCACAGTTAATATCAGTAACTATGTATAGTACATCAGATTATATTCAAAGTGTCCCACTTACTCATGCAGTAGAGCATAATGTACAGCCATCATCTGATTTCTTTGCTATTTGGTGTGAATGGCCGCTGTATAAATGCCGACGCTCTGACTGCGTAATAGTCAATGCCATTGATGTTAGTATGACTAGCAGCACCACATTAGTCTCATGGGGAGAGCCTGAGTTACCTGGGATTTGGATAGCAATCGTGACGGCCTGGCAATGCTGTAGTCATGCTCAAGACTCGATGCGAGCTGAGGAGAGCGGGAAGGTCAGGTATGTGATATCAGTAATGGCAGTCGTTTGCGAACGGACATGCGGGTGGACGGTTGCAGACTCTTTCTGGTCATACGCACATACCACGATGCACTCCATGTTTAGGAGTACTCCGATTGGGCGGTCGTACTTTCTCATTAGGTCCGGGCAGGTTCTGTCGAAGACACATCATTAGCCCTAGATGGGCGGTTCTCGGGCGCGCTTCGCTGCTAGCTAAATCGCAGTCGAAAGCTTCCTTCCTAGCGCATTTCTGAAGCAATCACGACACCGGAATTCCCAAGCAAACAGCGAGGTGGCTCATTTGATTAATCATCTCGAAGACATTGCTTAGTCCATGCCACCACCTGCGTACTTTATACGACATGAGGTTGGTTATAGCCCACATGTTTCTTATAAATTGACAGAAAAGCGAGCCCTGTATTTGATGCATCGATTCAGAAGTTAGCCTAGTTTTGTTTTATGGCTATAGTTGTAGGTGTACAGTATCCACGTACTATTGTAACATGGTCGATGTTAGCCGTGCGTTATGCATGTGAATGACTCGGTGTTGCTCGCATACCTAGGTATTTCGAGGGCATGAAGCCCGACTGAACAAACCCCCAATAACGTGGTCGTGAGCAACCCAAGGCAGAAAATACCACAGGAACCATATCCATGTGCACCGCTGAGGGTTCAATATAATCTTCGACCACGCTGTTTGCAGCTATTGCACCTTCCAGCTGTATAGGCCTGATGTGCTTTAACTCCAACAAACCTTGGTCTGTAATTTCAGGGACTAGTTTAACACGACACTGGTCTATATTAGTTGACGCCACGGTGGCTTTTAGATTCGGTGCATCGTGCACCTTGGTGTTGATGGCCCAAAGGAAAGTTTGACACCCCCTGCACGACAATTTGGATACTCCGGTGTAAAGAATACATCCTGTTCCCGAGCCCAGTTGTCTTCGAGGCAATTTTCACCTCACAGGGTAACTGGGTTCACGAAGTTCTGAAAAGGTCGGCCGTGTGTCATCAGATTCTAATATCCGCGTACTCCGGAGCTTATATTCCATGGGTCTGGAATTTTCGCCTGTCCACAACGAGCGAACCCGATATCGACTGTTTCAAAGGTTAGCTGCGTTATACATAAATGATTATCTGTGCAATTCACATACCTTTTTTTTTCGGGAGATCGAAAACATCCAAACACACCACGACATTGGCGCCACATGTACATAAACCACAATCCTAAATGATCCCAGCCACTCGCCGCCGACATACTGGTTTGTCACAATCCAGAACCACCGCTTCGTTCAAGTTATTGACCATGTATCTTTGCTGTATCGTTCGGTCAGACCTATCCATCCTTGCTGAGAAATGTTTATCTGTCACTGGGGTGTGTACAATACACTTCCTCTTTATAATCTCTCCCAGTACAGAATAGTTACCGTGGCCAGTGCGGCTTCCGTAGCCCGATACAGAACTAAGTATACCATGCCGAAGAGCCACAACAGGTCGTAGTTCTGAATCACGTATGTTGTCCCAATGATAGCAAGGCTGTCTTCGATCATGCCATGTCTCGTCTCAAGCATTGCTTGCTTGGTGGTCATCTTCAACCTGAGTTGGATGATATGGGTGAGTGAGTTCGATTGCCTTTTACTCGGTGGTTAGTGTTTCGCGCGTACGATGTGTGGCTGTAATCCACGTACGTATTTTGGGGATGTAACGTTTGGCAAGAGACGCCCGTTTCGAACCTGTGCCTCATTTTGACAGTCTAGTTCCATTTGATAGCCATATTCTACAAGAACGAGGTCTCAGTTCTCTAGAATCCTAATGGCCATGTGAGACTCCTCGTAAGAAATTAGCTTAAACTGTAGTTAAAATGATGAGGGATGTTACTCTACTTACAGAATTGCAGCTCTTGTACCACCCATACTGGCATGTATCAATTATAGGGCTCTCCCAGTGTCAATAGTCCACAGTGTCCCAAATTTCGTCTTCCTCAGAAAGAGACTCACGGGTTGTAACATTGTTGAGAGACGATACCCTCTAGAGAGAAGCATGAACCCACAATCCTCAGTTTTCCAGCTGGGTGCCAGAGTCTCATGATACATGGCCATCATTTGACTGGTTGCATATTTTCATCGTCTTTGTTATATCATTGCGGCGTTCATTTTTGCGGTCATTGCGGTGATCTGGCCTTAGGAACACACCACATCTCCACGAAATCCGTATTGATAACGATCCTTGGGATGTTTTGATTTAGACCGCATTTACCATTTCTATAATATAGGGCCACGTCAGGTACGGTACCTCAAGTTGGCTTCACTCATAGGCGTGTTGGTATGGTCATATTGTTCGGCGAGGCCGGCGGATGTACGGCTTGTATGCGATTTGTTGCTATCTCTTCCTCCTCCTGGCTCTGGCGAGTTTCGGTTTGCTTTCGAGATACCGGAGAAATACCGAAAAAAAGCCATGTGTTCCACGCTCCAACTCACTTGAGTCTTTTCCAATCTAACCAAACCAAACCAACCCAGCCCAGCTTAGATCGGGAAACAGACAGGGCTCAACGTCTAACAGGTGTTCTTTGAATACCGCCTGTCAACTCCTCGTTCATATCAAATTTGACGTTTTTTGACACGAGGAGTGCGAAGGGTTGTATATACCTCGTTAATCCCACTCGGACATCTGAATCCGATATTCAGAGCTGCTTCAATCAGTATTATACCATACCGCTTCACTCTTAAAACACCACGATATCAAAAAGCCCTAGGCATTGCCCCGCAACTTCCCCCCCAAAACCACAACCAACCCAACCCGAATCAAATCGGAAAACAGACAGAGCAGAACATTTTTTTTTTTTGCTGATGGCGCCTGTAGCGTTCTTGGCTTTCCCATTATTTCTGGCACTTTGTTGCCACAAATAGGTCAGATATGGAAGCGCGTGAGGAGACGATGCGATGCGATCGGACCATCAATAACGCAAGGTATGGTGTGGCAAGGTACCAGTTAGAGAGGGTATAAGGATTCCCCTCAAGTTCCTCCATGTATCTTTTGAATTATAGATATCGATATCGACATATATCATCAAAGTAGACGCTGTTCATCGTCTAGGGTGTTTTGTGGCGATAGGATGTCTGGTGCAACGCTTTAGGGGCATGGTGAACCGGTTGCAGGTTCTCGACGTCGACGTCGGTATTAGAGAGGTCTTTTCGTACTCTGGGATGAGTGGTGGTTGTAGATACAAGAATATAGTATGATAGAAAATGCGTTTATATAGATGGGGGGGGGCATATAGTGGGGATATATAAAATATAGTGAAGAAAGCAAGGACCAGAAGAGAGAAGGGGAGAGGGGAAGAGGGGAAAAGAAACCAGAAAGCACTCTTTGTCAGTATCCGGGCAGTGACCGCTACAGTGAATCTACGGAATCTACGGCAACATGCATAAGCAAACCATCATAGCTCCGTCGAATTATCATATATCGAAACTAGTACTGAAAACAAACAAAGAAAACCGAGCACCTACAAGGAAAGGAAAGGACACCAAAAATATATATGAAAAAAAAAAGAGTTAACTGTCGTTGAGTTCCACATATACACAAGGACGACAGGAAGAAGGAAGGAAGGAAGCCAAAATCAAATATAAATATCGAAAATAATGTTAAAAACTCCAAAGCCTCCTGTACACAAAAGCTATTGTTGATTTTGAATCAAAGGGTGCTTGCTCTAGTTGAAGTTCTCGATGCAGCCCCAGTAGCGCTCGACATCGAACTCACCGGCATCCTTCCACAGGTCGTTGGCAAAGGAGAAGAACACGGACTGGCTACCGACTTCCTGGACCAGCGACTTGATGGCGGCAGCCTGCTCCTTCTTACCGGGGACGGCGGCACCGTTGGCCTGACCACCGTTGGGCCAGCCGGTCTCGAGGATGACGACATCCTTGCCAGAGCAGATGCCCTCGAGGATCTTGACCTCGGACTTGGCGAACTTACCGGCCTGGTCGGCGGTGGTCTGGGCATTGAAGAAGGGGTGGATGTTGGCACCGACGACGTCAATGGCCGAGCAGAGCGACGAGCCTTCCTTCTCCCAGATGTTGATGGACTCGGAGGTGGTCACATCACCGGTGAAACCGGCCGACTTGAAGGACTGCTTGGCAGTGGTGATGAAGTCGGCAAGAGCACCAACCTCGACGTAGCCGCTCTGGATGGACTCGTTACCGACGACAATCAGGGTGACGAGGTCCCACTGAGCCCACTTGGTGATGGCGGTGACCTGCTCCTGGGCCTTCGAGAGACCGCTGCCGTCGATGTAGACACCGATGATCATCTTGAGGCCGTGCTGCTTGGCAGCCTTGCCGACGTACTCGAGACCGTTGCAGTCAGTGGCGTAGAGACGGAGGTGGGAGAAACCCTTCTTGGCGATCTCACCAACGTTCTTGAGAACAGCCGCCTCGTCCTGGCAGTTACCGTCGTCGGCGTAGGGAGAGTAGGTCATACCCATCTGGCCGTTGACGGCGCTGGGGATGGGAGTGGAAGAGCTGGTCGAGGACGAGGGGATGGCCGAGGTGGTGGAAACGGCGGGGGTGCTGACAGCGGGAGTGGTGCTGACGACAGGGGTGCTCACGGCGGAGGAAACGCTGGTGGTGCTCTCCTCGGGGCAGACGTAGGTGTAGTCAGTGTTGGTGATGGTCATGGTGCGGTCAGGCTTGGTGTAGGTACCCGGGGTGTAGGTGGCCGGGGTAGGGTAGACCACGGCGGTGTTGGTAGGCACATAGGTGGTGATGGGCGCAATGGTGTAGGTACCGGCAGAGGGGCAGACGTAGGTGGTGGTCTCAATCACGCTGGTGGTGGTTGAGCCAGTGGGCTTGACGGTGGCGTAGGGGCAGGTGACGGTAGTCGCGGTCTCAACGACAGTAGTAACACCACCAATGGTGTGGGTACCGCTGGGGAGCTCAGTGCTGGTGGCACCGCAGACAGTGGTCGAGTCGGTCACGGTGATGGTCTTGGCGGGGATGGTGTAGACACCAGTGGAAGTGAAGCTGGTGATATCAGGGGTGGGCAGCTCCACGACGGCAGTGCTGGTGGTAGCGGGAGCCACGCTGCTGGGGGTGGTGACGGGAGCAACGGGGCTGGGGATGACCGACGACGAGGTCTGGGGAACCCAGGTCGAGCTCTCAACCACAGGGGTCTCGGTCGACGACGAGGGAGCGGGAGCGGGAGACGGGGCCTGAGAGGGAGTCTCCGAGGGAGCCTGAGAGGGAGCCTGAGAGGGGGTCTCGACGGGGGTCTCGACCGGAGTCGAGACCGGAGTCTCGGGGGTCTCAGCGGGAGCAGAGGAAGTCTCCGGCTCCGGCTCCGGGGCGGGAGCAGACGAGGACGACGGAGTGGTGGTGACGACGGTCACGGTGGTGTAGCTGGTCGACTCCAGAGTGGTGGTCAAATCAGCAGGAGGGACGGTGCTGCTGCTAGAGGAGGTGACAGGAGCCACGGAGGAGGGAGAGGGAGAGGGAGTCGAGGTGGTCTCCGGCAGGGGAATCACTGCTTCATTAGTTTCTTTCTATTCTGGATTATCTGTGTGTGTATAGAGGGCTTACAGGTAGGAGAGCCGTAGTAGGTGATGACCTCGGTGCTGCACCCGCAAGTCTCCTCCACAACGGACGAAGCAACGGAAGAAGGCGCAGGGTTCTGAAGAGCACGACGCTGGTGCGCAGCTTCGTGACCGCGACGGTGCATGTGGACGCCATCAGCAACGGCAGTACCGGCGATAGCGGCCGCAGCCAAAAGAGTAGCCCTCATAGTAAAAGGATGGGAGATGGGTTCGCAAATGCAAAGAAAGAATGCCCGCTGAACGAGTGAAGCGGTGGTCAACAATAGACCTTAATAAGGAACGACAAGAGAAGAGAAAACAACAAGAGGACGCGAACTCGAGAGCAAACCGAAGGGAAAAGAGGAAAAAAGAAGAGAAGAAAAAGAGAGGAAAAGCCAGAGAGAAAAGGAGCAGAAAGAAACAAAACGAACCACAATACACAGTATTACCAAATTAATCAGGGGTGGGGTGTGGAAATGAAACCCCTGACCACTTTTTGATTGGTTGGTGATAACAGTCTGGGCCCGGGTCAGGCACCGAATGGTTTCTATTGGCTGGGGTAGTGGATATGGTGGGGTATAGCCGAACACTGCCTACCGCTAGCTCGGCCATGGTAATACGGGTACAGAATACAACAAACAAAGATACAGACAAGCGCCGAATGGAATAGAATAATATACTTGGAAATCTAGACAAACAGTGATGGTACCATACAGCCATATTCAGGCAAGCAAACTACTAACTAGCACAAAATAAACAGCGCTTTACCATTATTCATAGTTTACAATTTCCAATATTTCCCAATGTCTATTTTTACTGGCTACTAACAGGAAGTTAATTTCCGGGTCCCACTCCTCCCCCATTATTGGGCAGCCTCGATGGAGCCCCTGAATTTCCGGATTTTCAGATCGTCTGACAGTAGATATTCACATCGTTACTGCGAACAGTAAACAGTTGATAGTTCTGTTAAGAATAGATTCCTATACTTAGTATAAGAACTGTCAGTGATCAATGATTTCTGTGAGTATGTGTACTAAAGTACACAAGAGTAGTGGTGGACTACTCTGGAGTCCGGACGCACTGCCGACTGCCGAGTCTAGATCAGTCACCAAGCCTCACCGCTGGACACCATTCCTTGGTGTGTCTACGAGCTCATTTCCGGACTATGGAGTTTCCAGAAATCCATGTCTCGGGCAACTGACAAGTACAGTACAGGTAAAGTTATCTCCTATTCAGCACTGCTGTCCCTTACGAGCTTGGCAATCAATAGTCATGTCTCACTCGGCGCGCTCCGAGGAGTTGAAAGATCCATAGGGTCGACCCTAGTCATGTGATGAGGTGGCGTTCTGCCCGGATAGACCTGAGGGAACTGAGGCAATGAACCCACGTAGCTGTAGAGTACAGAGTGCACCGATCGTGGATACAATCTGGTTAGAATCATCTGGAAAAGTTTGTAACACTACCCCAGTAAGGGCAACCCATACATATTTCCCCGTGACATTCTCTGTTTCATCAGGGCATACACCTGTCCTGCCCCTACTGTCTACGAGCATCTGTACGGGGTCTTGTCGTACCTGGATAAATGACTAGTAATGCTGGAGTGAAGCGTTAATGCAGCGCTTAAATGCCGACACGGTGGCGAATCGAGGCGCTGGGCACCACTGCCACTTTTACTCTATACGGAGTAGATATGCATGGTTGATTGGAGACATGTGAATGCTGTCCCTAGGCTCAACTGCAATGCGAGTATACATTCCCACCACCAGCCAACATTTGTCTATCCTCAGAGCATCTGATTCGATTCTTCATTGCTAGATTCATTGCTAGATCGCTGGTATCATTATTCTTGATACTATGCTATGTTCTTGAAAAACATATTTGTGATTTTCATCATCCATAGGCCACGGTACTATAGTCAAGCTCTGCACTTACCTCGACCTATTCCAATCACCCAAATACATAGTTACTGAAGCACTCCATACTGAGCTCAGCATATACACAGAATGTCCACTGAGCTACATGCTTTCTGTCTTAATTGAAGTCGAGTTCTATTTCGCATATCCGACGGCATGTGGAGTATCGCTACTCTGTCTGTACGTATACGGGGCACCGCTACTTTAATCCAGTCAGACCATCTGTCGCTGTGGTTCAGTCTCGATTCTTGGGTTTTAATAATATTTTCATTTCTTCAGGGTCCGCCAATTTACTACCCCGTACGTATCCTCGGTACTGATCTCCAATCCACGGTTACCAGGACCCGATCCAAGTTTACACTCGGCAAAGTAGAGCCATACAAACATCTATATATTCTAGAACCATTGAATCACTAAATGTCGGCATATTATAGCGGAATCTCCCTTGATCTCCCTTATCACTGCCGACAACAGTTATACTCGTTTGTATACGAGCATCACATGACATATCATGCCACATCTACTACACTCCGCATCCATCGTATTGGACTTTATACATCACGCCACCCACTAGTATTCAGATATCAAAGAAACCAATGCCTCGTGATCACGAGTATTTGATGCTATATGGTGTAGATAATTGGTTTTGGTATGCTACCATTGCCTGATGTTCGTATCTATCTAGTAACACGACGAATGGTGGACGAGTAAATGTAAGATGATCGTATGCCGCCATGTCAACATGCCATGTGCGATTTCATGATCGATTACAGTATCCCTGTTATTCCGATATGTATTCTAGACTGCATACATAGTAGGAGAGTATTTAATCTCTACCCTTCCATGTTCACTCACATCCCTCATCATCACACCAACATCAAGACATTAAAACATCAAAACAACCACCTAACTATCTTTACTACTTGCTACTTACCACAACCACGACAAAAATCAACCCTAAAACCAACCACAACTACCCCTTTGTGTCACAACACAATGTCCTCTCCCTCCCGCCCAAACGACTTTGGCTCCGACCTCTGGGTCCGCGACTCCCACACCCAAACCCGCGTAAGTAAACAAACAGTCCTTTATCATACCACTCCACGGTACAAATCCAATCCAGATCTCAAACCCCAGTTACTTACTTACAACCATGAACGCAGCGCCCTACATCCGGCCGCGGCCTCTTCGCCGGCCTGCAAGACGTAAAACACTACAATGTGGAAAATGGGTGGGCCAAGAGGAATGTTAGGGATGAGAATCGCGGGATTTTGGGATTTTTGGGGAGGTGGTACGTTCCCTCATTCCCACTTGCTCTTGATTGTGTTTTTATATAAAAGGGTTTGTAAAGAGGTGTGTGCTAACGGGTGTGGGTGTAGGTGGGGTGGGTATACGCCGCCGAGGGAGTGATCGTCTTTGGTTTACTCCGGAGTAATATTATCTGGGGGGTGCCATGGGGATATGGGGATGCTAGTTTTTTTTTTTTTTTTTTTTTTTTTTTAATATGACTGACGATTGTTACTTTATTGGGTTACGGAGTATGGTCAAAAGATACACATAAGGATATCAATAATTCAATTCTGCATTAACGCTCTGTACATGTCATGAAATTGCTAAACCAGACCTTTTAAAAATATATCCCAAATGAACCAAGAATAAACGAAACAAAATGAATAAAAGGAAAGAAAGAAAACAGCTTACTCCCAGCTGTTAATCTTCATCGTCCCATTATCCGCCAAGTTCTTATGCATCTTAAACGCATTAAACAACAAGTGCGGCTCATGGCCCATACCCTTCTTCAGACACTCAAACTCAGCGCGGTCCAAGTAATCAGTGAGAATAGGCTGGTAGTCAGGGTGGGCGCAGTTCTTGATGATGACGCGAGCGCGCTCTCTAGGCGAGAGGCCACGAACATCAGCAAAGCCCTGCTCTGTGACGACCATGTCGAGATCATGCTCTGTCTGGTCGATGTGTGTCGCGAAGGGGACGATACACGAGACACCGGTGGGGTCGGTCTTGGAGGGACGGATGGAAGGAGTGTGCATGATGGAGTAGCGCGAGTTACGCAGGAAATCGGCGGATCCACCGAGACCGTTGAGCATGCGGGAGCCAAACACGCAGGTGGAGTTTGCGTGTGCGTAGATGTCCACTTCAACGGGGGTGTTCATGCCGATGCAGCCCAGACGGCGGATGATCTCAGGGGAGTTGGAGATGCCCTGGGGGCGGAGGAGGAGCTTGTCGGCGTAGCGGTCCCAGTTGTCGTAGAAGCGCTTGAAGCCGTCGGGGGAGAAGCGGATGGAGGTGGCTGTGGCGAAGTCGAGGTTGCCGCTGTCGAAGAGGTCGAGGAAGGTGTCTTGCAGGACTTCGGTCCAGACCTTGAGGTTCTTGAAGTTGGCGCCACCCTTGCTCAATCCACCAACCACTGCGTTGGCGATGTTTCCAATGCCAGACTGCAGCGGGAGGAGGTTGTTGGGGAGACGGCCGTGGTCGACCTCGTGCTTGAGGAAGTCGATCAGATTACCCGCGATGGCCTGCGAGGTTTCATCCTCGGGCGAGTTGGCAGCCGTCTTGTCGGGGTAGTCACCCTCGACAATGGCAACGACCTTCTCTGGGTCAACGGGGATGTAGGGGGTTCCAATACGGTCCTCGGGACGCATGATCATCATGGGCTTGCTGTACGGCGCCTGCTCAGGCACATAGATATCATGCAGACCCTCAAACGACGGCGTCGTCGTGTTCACCTCAATAATAACCTTATCCGCCATCTGCACAAGCTCCGGTGACGCACCAACCGACGCACCGGGAATAATCCCACCATTCTCGGTAATCGCAGATGCCTCGATAACCGCGACATCAAGCTTACCGCTGGGCTTGTCCAACGTGTACCACCCGTTAATCAAGTCCTGGGGGAACATGCTCAGATGCTTATCGAAGAACTTTATCCGGCCCGAGTTCAACCCCTTGGCAATCTCCTTGCCGACCTGGTGGGGACTGCGGCGCTCGATCATGTCTAGTGCTGCCCAGCGGTTCTCGGTCTCTGCGCCGGACGAGGCACCGACGAACAGCGAGTATTTCATCTTTCCTTCAAGCTTGTTCTTCTCGACGTGGTCTGCCAGGGCGGTGGGGACTTTCCTGCAATCCAGTTAGCACCATGTCACCACCACCACCACATACTGTGGGAAAACATACTTGGGATAACCAACACCCGTAAACCCGGACCAGCCGATATACGAGCCATGAGGAAACAAGTCAACAAGATCCTCAGCCTTGGCCAACTTGTTAAGGTACGAGGGCCGCTTAACACGGCTTCTGAGGAGAGCAGATGCCATTGTGTAAAAATCTGGAGAAGAGTGGAGAGTGTCTAGAGAAATCCGGGGAAGAAGAGAAAAAAAAAACAAGAAAAGAAAGGAGTGTGTAGAAAGAAAAGAAGGAGAGGGAGAAGGGCGAGCTACAAATATAACCGGCTAACCCCACGGGCACAGGGAGAGCAGCAGGTGGAGAGGCAAATCCACAAATCAAAAACCGGCCATTCGGAATCCAGGGAAAGGAGAATGTACTATGAGTTAAGTTGGTCTGTTATTACATCGTGTCGGTGCTACGTTGTAAGTAGGGTTATCATCTACACCGGTGTTCTAGTCTCTGCTATGTCTACGAACTATAAAAACAGATTGAAGAAAAGGAAATACACGGCTATTTGAAGCCGTCCTTCCATTCTCCCGTCTTTTTCTCTGCTTAATTCCGCACAATTCCTAAACTGAGGGAGTCTTTTCCTGCTCTTGATCATTATGACATTTTTTCCGTTTTCGGACTAGCGTCGCCCCCAACGCCATAACAACGTCACTCCGGCATTCGTTCGGCGTTTTCTCGATATTTGTTCCCCTTTCACTTTTCCTCCCCTTTATACCCCTTTTGCTACGTAGAAATGCATTTCAATGTTAAAGAAAACGTACAAAATCATCCCAAGAACCCCAATTGTGCAAATTTTTCCATTTCAATTGAACCCGAGAGCACGGAGTTCACCATGTACATACTATCGGCCAGCCGAGCCATGTCCGAACCTGTATCGGGCTGTATCGGCTAAGCAGCCATCGGCCACACGGAGCTTTCGAGTTTCGCAGCATTTCCTGTTGATTTGCAGTCGATCGATCTGCTACAAATTCCGGGGCAATGGAAAGGAGAAATGGAACACTTCCATCTTTAGTTGGAGTACTAGTCATTCGCCCTAAAGTACATAGTAAAAATAAAAAATATCACCGGTCCACTCCTGTCCTCTAAATACACCCAAGTCCGAAGCATAGCATAGCATAGCATAATAGGATATCCCCAGATTTGGCCCCCGAGTAGAGAGAAATCTAGGTGAATACCCAGATCGGACAGTTCACCCATATTTGCAAGCAACTGAGAACGAAAAGAAACAAATCCAAATCCCCAAAAGAAACATAATGCCAACAGCCATGAAAACGTAGAACCGAATATAAAATCGATTATATTATTCATTCATTCACAAATAACAAAAGGAAACCCCCCCCCCCCCCCCCTCCCAACTCACAATTATGCCTCTTTCGACTCGGATGGTGCTGGTTCCGCTGCGTCTGCCATTTCTGTATCTTCCGGTTCGGCCGGTTTCTCCTGGTCTATATTGCCGCCTTCCGGAGGAGCCTCTTTAGCTGTAGCTTCCGTAGCCTCTGTCGCGGCACCCGCACCCGCCTCCGCATTCGTGTCAGCGTCGGCGTCAGCGTCAATACCAGCGCCAAGATCACTGTCAGCGTTGGCACCATCTCCATCTCCTTCCCCAGTTCCTTCCCCAGCCTCAGCCTCAGGACCGCTCGGTTCAGGCTCGGAACCCCTGATCCACGACCGGAAGCGCTGATTAGACTCATCCACTTCGTCCTTGCTGAGTCCATGCGCCCAGACCGGGTTATTAATAAACTTTTCTACAAAGCGGTCCTTGCGGCGCTCCTTGACAGCCGCGTCTTCTCTGGCTGCCTCTTCGGCAGCTTCTTCTGTCGGGCCTGTAGGACGCCAGCTCCATTCGCAACTGCCGGGCTCGTACAGGAGATGATAGCTGTTCGCGCAGATCCGGATGATCAGACCATCTGAATGCTCGAGGGGCCGGTAGTAGCGGTTGTACTCGTCTTCTTGGTCAAGTCTGGTTGGTAGGTTCCGTTTTAAGAAAGGCATGCGCATCTGGGAGAACGGGACGCCTTCTGTCGGGTCGCGCATGGTATATGCAGACACGTAGTAAGACCAGCGCGCTTCCTGGCTTAGCTCTTCATTCTGTAATGTCGCGTCCTCTGGCGTCAAGAGTTGAACCGTAGTCTTCTTAGACGTGGGATGCTAATCCGGTCAGCAAAAACTCCCCCAAATATGAGAGCAAAAAACTTACGTGGGTAATCCGATAAACATCCCCATCTTTAATCAACCTCTCCACCTGCTTCCGGTACTGAATCTCTTGATTATGCGTAGTCTCCTCACGATCCCGCTCCTTGAAGAAGACATTGATAATATCCGAGCTGCGATCCTTCGAATCACCACTGAAAATCGCACCAGCAAACTTGGCAATACCAGCAAACATCTTCTCCAAGTTGTACAGCTGGTACCCGCCGCGCAGATAGAACCGACGAAGCGTCTCCTCGAGATGGTTGTTCTCCAGATCACCCTTGATGACCTCTTCGCACATCCGCACAATCTGCTGGTAGAGGTTGGACTTGGGATCTGTGTCGTAGAAGAAATCGCCAGGCACCTTGTCGAGAAGACCTAGTTCAGTCGCCGGTTTGCCCATTGCAGCGCGACGCACACCTTCATGCGCATCCTTTTCTTGCAATTTGATACGCAGCAGTCGCGAATAGAGAATTTCGAACGTCCGGAAGAAACAGTAGATATTTCCGTTCGCGTACAGGTGGTAGGCCTTCTTCTTGTAGTTCTCGTTGAGCGTGTACTCCCGCTGCAGGTTGAAGTTGCCCTGGCCAGGGTGCTCCATCCACTTGAGTTCCGTCACGTCGACAGGTTGAGTCGGGTCCGGAGGAGCCACAGAAGGAACCAATACAGCATCCGGCGTGCCAGCGCGGCTACCGGCGCGGCTACCGGCGCGGCTTCCAGGAGCACTGTTGCCGCCTTTCTCGCTTCGGTTTCCCTTCTCGCGGCGCTCCAAGACATCGCGAAGTAGATCCATCTTCTTGCTGGTCGCCGTCTTGCGACTACGGCTCGAAGAGGTCTCCTCAGCTGCGAGGCTCTCATCATCGCCTTCTTCAGCCGTAGAGCTCCCACTCGATGCTTCGTTCATGTAAGCATGGAAGCTCTCGCGGTCCATACCGAAGAAGATAGGAATGAAATCCTTGATGAACGCGATCACCTTCTGAGGATCAGCTCCGAAGCCCGCAGAGTTCCGATCGATAAAAACGATCAACAAGTAGGTAGCATCGATGAGCACAGCCGGGTCGTCGAACGTGTACTCGAATTGATAAGAAGGGACATGGTATCCACTTTTTCGTAAATTCCGGCTTTCTTCGAACTTGCCCTGGATTTCACTTTGGATGTGCTTCGCGACGAAAAGCTTCTTGTCGACCGCCTTGCTAGCAATAGCCTGGTGATCCAAACTGCGCCAGTAGGCTTTCTGCGTCTGTTCCCGCCAGACCTTGTCCCATTCGCGCTGACTAGCTTTCCACTCTTCGCACTTCTGCTTCATCCGGAACAGAACAATCGGGAGCACATGACACGGTCGGTCAAACATCTCACGAATAATCCTGTCTCCACGTTGCCGATCGTACACCTTCTTGATCACGCGCTGGTAGATAGCCTCACTCTGGCCACCCAGGCCTCGCGGAAGCTTGAAAGCCGCTCTTTCTGCTTCAGACATCACCAGGAACTGCTGAACGATAGGCTCAATGAGTTGGATCGTGCGAGTGCATGCCTCGATGTGGTGGTCGTAATCGTGTCGGTCCTCTTCAATCCGGTGCAGCGCATCTTCGAACTGGTTCTTGCGATGGGCCACGAAACCAGAATCTTCGGACGCCCATGTAGGGTGGGATGCCCATTCATCGTTGAGGACGCTGTAGCAGAGCTGGTCGCGACCACTGCACGGCTTTTGCCGCTCGCGCTTGGGCAGCAGACGATAGCTAGGACCGAGAGAACGGCAGTGCGAAAGGTTGACGATTCCAGGCGATTGTTTGGGCTTTATCTCAATGATCTTATCCTCGGGCTCTTCAACGTGCATAAAGCGCTTGAACCACGCAAACAACTCCGGGTGAGAACCAATGTAGCCAGCTGCTCTCTTGACAAGAACCTGTCTGTCGATAAGATCCGTGGAGTAAAGGTTGCAGAGCTTGAGGAATTCGCTAAACGTCGACTTGTTTCCAATGTACTTCTTGACGCGATCAAAGAAAGCAAATTCCTCTTGTGTAGGCGTCAGAGAGTTAGAAGGCGGGATGGGTTCTGGAAGCGCGGGGATGAGGGTAGGCGAAACGGAAGGAGCATCAGCTTGCGAGGGCTTAGGATGATGAACCTTGGCTCTCTTGTTCGCGTTGCCAACCTGGAGAGCTTGCGGTCGACCCTGCGGATCACCCATGCGGGCAGCTTCAGGCGCAGACGGCCCCGGAAGGGATCCCAATGTAGAAGGAGCACCAGGACCACGTCGTTTCTTGCCATCTTTGGCGGAATCCTTGACGTTGAACTGGCCAAGAGGGGGCATCTTGACGTCCCGGTTCGGAGTCTGAGAGGGGAGACCGCCAGCGCCGGGGTAGCCAGGCTCGCCGCGAACATTGCTCGTTTGCACCGCCTCCTCGGCCTGGCGTGCAGCCGCCTGCTGCTTGGCGTGTGCTGCAGACTCTGGCAAGAATTGTTTGAAATCCTCCAGCAGATCGGGTGCAGTGTTGAAGAGCTGGGTCACCTGAGCGTAGACGTCTTGAATGGGCTTCGACTCGCGTTGGTATGTCTGTAGTATCTCGAGGAACTGCTTGTAGATCTCAGGTGCATTGGAGAAACGGTTCTAAATTCGTGGTCAGTGCTTCAGTACCATGAACAAGAGGACAGTACTGCTAACCTTTATCTTGTTAACATAGCTAATCGCATGGTTAAACTCAACAGGTCCACGCTTGTTCAGGTCAGTCTGAGAGCCCTGCAGCATACCAGACCCCACGCCAGCCAGGCTATTCATCGGTTGGTTCAAGGCCTGGCCTGCTGGCGATACCTGCATCATAGATTGACGCCCCAAGCCAGCCGAAGCGGCAGATGCAGCACCTTGAAGTTGCGACACACCACGCTGATCCTGCTGGTGAGCCATAGCCGCAGCGCCAGCTGCTGCTTGTTGTTCTTGCTGGGTCGGGTACTCGTAAGAACTTTCGTGGGGCTGGCCCTGGCCGTGCTGTTGTCCAAATATGCCCTGTGCCATCATGCGGGATCCAGGCGAGTAGCTGCCTTGCTGGGGCTGGTGCTGTGGCTGTTGCCAGCTAGCTCGTGATTGGTCGTAGAATTCAGCGCGAGCATGGGGGCCCATGCTACCAGACGGTCCCATATCCGCCGCGGCATCCATGGACGCGCGCGGGCGAGTCATGCTTAGTGTGTTCGTACCCGACGGCGTAGTTACCCTAATGGCGTCAGGGTTGTCCTCTGTTCCGCATTCAATCCGATACCCCGGAGGCAAGAAGGTGTTGAATCCCTGGATAAGAGCCGGGTGACCGTTGAACAAGGTCGAAACGCGTTGAATCACACCAGGCGTATCGATACTTCTAACAAGTTAGAAAAACTTCACTCTCTTCGCCGTATGCTGGACGCTTACGCTTGGCTCTTGAAATCTTTCATTATATCCAGGAACCGGTTGTAGACATCGGCCTGGTCAACGAACCGAACCTTGACCTGGTCCAGATAACTGAGGGCGTCCTGATGGATTGAGGTCAGCATGACAGCTCCATAATGTATACAATGCCGACGTTTTGCGACCACAATAGGCAGGCCCCGAAGCGGTGACAAACGGATCTGCGACAAGCGCAAATGACGCGATCGATCTATCGCCCACCGCCACGTGGACTCCGGCACCATAAATACCACCAAGGATTAGGATATACTTACATTCAAAATCGGCTGCTGGCCCTGAGTCAGAGCCGCAACGTTCCCGGGGATCTGAGGACCAGAACCACCAAATCCCAACATAGGCTGGCCCGGCGGAGCAGCGGGATGCTGCATGAAAGAACCAGGTGTCCCTTCACCATGCCGAACCTGCGAGCCAAATAACCCACCAGGACCACCAGCAGATTGCATAGGACCCTGCGGACCATTGGAAGGGTTCAAGTTCGACAGCAGCCCATTATGGATCGACGTCGGCGGTTTATTAGCCACAGGTTGGTGCAATGGAATCGATCCAGTATGACTCTGAACGGGATGATGTTGTTGTTGTTGCTCGCGCTGGCGTTCAATCTGTTCGCGTTCGCGCTCACGTTGTTCACGCTCTCGGTGCATCTCCTCCTGGCGCTGGCGCTCGATCAATTCCCGTTCTCTCGAGTCGCGTTCGCGTTCCTGATTGATGGATTGCGGCGAGGGGTGCTGCATCGCCTGTCCGATGCCCGGCAACGAGTGGCCGGCATTATGCGAAGGAGCAGGAGGGTGTTGGCCGAAGGCCGGGGGCGGGTGTGGGCCGGAATGGCTCTGGCTCAACTCCGCCAGTCCGGGGAGGGAGTGCCCAGTAGGCTGACCGGGGTGGTAGGGACCTGGAAACCGGTGGTGGGACCACAAGTCAACCAACACTATTCCATAACACAACTTTTATCAACGGTATAAGGTAGAAGAGAAACGGTAGGGACTAACCAGCAGGAGGCGGCAAAACGGGCCCGGCGGGCTGGGAGGATGGGCCTTGCTGGGGCGGGGGGTTTTGGCTATTCAAGAACAAAGTCAGAGTCGTTCAGAAGAGACACCATATCATATAGACATACCCAAATGACCCTAAGGGCCGGTGCTGTTGATTCATCTGGTGATCCATGCTAGAGTGTGAAGGCGGTCCGCCGGCAGGATGCCAATTATCGTTCCCAGAGTTCATGATCTCTGCATTAACACAAGCCTCAAGGACTTTTCAGAGCCAAAGGCTGATAGACAAACTCGAAATACACGAGTCACAAAAGGTGTAAAATGAAGGTACAAGCAGTATGTTGGGGTCAGAGCAAGCCTGCTAATCGTTTCGCACTCTGGGGGTCTGCTCTCCAAAAGTCATTTCACAACCACATCACGATACCGTAATGCAAGGGAAGTCAAATCAGAGAAGAAGAGAAATGAGAACTGAACGCACACGTCCAGACCAGGAGACCTATAAGAAACAAAGCAGACAAAAAGAGAGGTGAGCAGGAAACCCGGACTGGCAATGATGGTTTGCGCGCGACCGATCACTGTCAGAGTGAAGGCGGAGAGGCTTTCAGCAGCACTAACCCCTTTCCAGCCCTAGTATCCGGGCCCTCGGTGCCACGCTTTTCCGGCGGTGTGTTTGTGTCATGCTTTTTTCTGCCCGTCCTGTCCGGCGCGTGCTGATTGGTCTGTCGGGCACGACGTCATCGACTGTACATGAGCATTTACGCAGTACATACAGTTGGATAACGCTTCATATATTCATTATCTACCATCAAGTAACACTAAGTAAGTACCTAAATTGACTCAATTGGGGTCCTTATATAACCCGCGTCTAAGTAATCGCAATGACGGTCTTTCCGCTGCATCGCCGACTTGAACAGTAGACGGGCTGTAGTCGGCTGTAGCGAATACAAGCCATCAAATCAAATCAAAAACAAGAGGGGCAAAAGAAACCATGCGTGAGCTAGGCTCTTTCTCTATCAAACTCTCTCCAACGCCTCCAAGCAAGAGCAAAAATCCCCAGCATCTGCCCAAGAAAACGGATACAGGTAAGGTCGATATAGGATCAGCGTGTGTAAGATGGACGGTAAAGGGAAAGGGGAAAAGGGAGATGATAGGGAGAAAGAAATAATGCACACCGTCTCCGGATAGGTAACGATGCATTCGAAATTGAACTGGTTGAATTTTTTGGATTTTGGTGGTTGCTTCTCCTGCTATTAATCACGTTTTCCCTTAAATCATATCCTGCCCTCGTTATATGCCATGATGAATGTACGGTCACGTCTGCCCACGTTTACAGCGCAGAAAAGACGAAGAGCTAGTGACGTTAGCTAACACGCAATTGGCAAGACGGGAAAGAAAACTTACGTTGTTCGTAGCAGCAATGGCAATGCTGTCTTCGTACGGATGCCAGCTCATGTGAAGGATCTTCTTGTTGAAATCAATCTGATCCGCATCGGTCTCCTTCCTCATCCGGCTGCCAGGACCAACAGGGCTACCCGATCTGGAGCCGTTCTTCTTCCCGTTGGCGCCCCTGTTCATGGGCGTGGGCACGCCAACCTTCTTCGCCTTGAACGCAGACTTGTCGGCCTGCAGCACAATCTCGGTGTCCTTGTTCTGGTCGGTGGGGTAGATCATGAAGTTGTTGTTGTAGCTTCCGGTCATGACGTTCTCCGCATCACCCGAGAAGACAACCTCGAATTTATCGAAGATACTGTCGTTTTCGTATGTGTCGCACAGACGCGGCCGGAGGTGTTCGTGGATAGGAATGGTCTTCACGGGTTGCCTCTCCATGTTGACATCCCAAACCTTAACCGTCAGGTAATCTCGGGAAACAATGTATCGACCGTCATTCGAGAAGCGAACATCGGAGATCGACGAAATGATCTCGGAGAAGAATGAACGGGACGAGGCGTCTTCCTCTTGTTCGAATACTGCAGACCATGTTAGTTTACCTTGGCGCAAGCAAGTAACACGAGGAAAACATACGCTTAGAGTGCTCATCACACAATGCCCGCTGGCGCATGTCCGCCAACTTGATGGTTCCCTTCGAGCTAGCATACATAAACCAGTTACAACTGGTAGGGTGGAATTCGGCCGCGGTGATAACTTCGGTGAGTTCTTCCATGTTGGCCGGTTTGATATCGACAATGTTGAAACTCTGGTCCTGGATGTTAAGGTTCCAGAGGTTGACTCGAAGATCATCGCTGCTTATGAAGGTCTCTCCGTCACTGTTGACGGAGATGCTGTTGATGTGGTATGCATGGGCGTTTGCATATGTCCTCCGCGGTACGGCTGCGACAACGGTGTCATGGTGTGTCATCCGGGGAAGCTTCAATGACGATGAGTCCTTGAACGGTATACGAGGTGGGCGAGGCGCCCCTCCACCAGACACAGCGCCCGCGGGCGTGAGTTCATTCGACAGGTTGTTCTCGGCGACGACCTTGAGCGATTTATCGAAGACCTTCCATAGCTTAATGGTTTTGTCATTTGTCGAAAGAAGATAGTGGGAGGAATTTTGCCGTCTGCACCACTTGATCTTGTTGATCTTCTCTTCGATTTCTAACGATTTGAGGTAATCGAACTCGGGCTCGTGCGATTGAAACTCGGTGTGGAACTTATATTCGCATGTTTTTTTCTAACCAGTCGTTAGGATGGGCCTGAGATGCAAGGTCAAAGGGTCGCTACCGTTTCGTTTCTTTCAAACAGCACCACTCTTCCACCCTTATCTCCCGTGGCCAAATAGTTACCGGTATGGTCGAATTCGACGGTCGAAATAATGTCCGCTGGGGAGACCGTTAGTTCGTCCTGGATGTCGATTGGTAAGGAATGAACTCCAGTTGGCAACCAACCTTCTGTGATATCTTCCACATCACCCTTGTCACCGAAGCATCTGATACACCATCAGCATTCCAGCACGGAGGCATATGTCAAGGTGGGGCATGATTGCCAGCTCCCACCGCTACTGCGGGAATCCGACGCTCGACATCAACTTACTGTGTGAACTTCCAGGTAGGCGAATTCGGATCTCTGTCTACCATCTTCGATACCACCCTTTACTGGGGTGATAGACACAAGGATATAGTTGAGGAAATCACACAGAGCGAAACCGGAACAAGACACCGACGGACACGGGGAAGCTTGTGGGAGCTATAATGCGACCGCTGCAGGAATCAAGCGGTGAAGCCCAAAAAGTAGGATAGGTAAATTTTTCGAATAAATTTTCTCGTAACTTTTTTTTTTTTTGTCGGGAATTCGCTTCCAGATCGAAAGCGAGAGAGGTGAGGGCGGATGTGTTGGGAGAGTCAAGGCGATCACGAATAACGGCGACCGGTATTTCTCGAGTGGAGATAGTGGGAATCGGTCAAGGGAGGGGAAAGAGGGATGCAGGACGAGAGGAACGAGAGGAAGATGAGGACAAGGAGGACCGCGAGAATGTAAAGAGACGAGGCTCTGTATAAAGACAAAGAAATGTCAGTGGTTTCTGCAAGACTTCAACGGTTCGTTGCGTGTATCGTGGACGGGCCTCAATGAGGAGGGGAAATTTTTTCGTGATCGTGCGAGTGACGATAGATAACAGATATAGATAGCAGAAACACGAGTAAAACACAGATTGAAGAGGAATATAACTCCAAGCAGAGACAGCAGACCCTCGATTGTGGGAGATGATGAGCCAGAGTGTACAAGGGAAGGAGGCTCTGAGTTGTTTGTTGGCCAGCGGATGAGAGAATGGGGTACAGTTGATGAAATGCAGGAATCCAGCATAGAAGAGAAATGCAATAACTTACCAATTACCAAGAAACAAAATGGATGGGATTGTGGTCAAAAGAGAAGCGAGAGGGAGAGGAGAAGAGAGGTGGGATGGAGATGCGGTGCGGTGGTGGTGATTGTGGTGAGCTGGTGGTGGGGAGCGTTAGCAGTCGGGCTGACATCAACTACTCCGATGCTACATAGTACTCACCACCCTATGCTTGGTACATATAATCGATCTATAGGAAAATTTAGCAGCCCAGTATACAATGCAGTTGGCATGTTCAGCAGCTACAATTATCACCTACATGTACCACCATGTACTCTGTACTCCATACTCCATACCTCCGTACCGCTGGCACCGATATATATATATATGACAACACCCGAATCCACCCAACATACCCCAGATTGGGTCTCTAACCATCCAATTGAACTATTTCCGGACAGCCACCTAGGTCCTTATGCTCACATGTCGAGCAATCTGGTGCATTTGCATGTCACTATCTGGCTACCTCTGCACGGGCAAGTGCATCCAGTTTCCCGATTAGGATATCGTGATACTATTCCCAACCTAATCCATTCCTGTACGTTCACGTCATTTGCAAACAGTGCTACTATCTACGAATTCTAAAATAGCATCTACCAGGGGTAATTCCTGTAATTATTATATATCGCTGTCGTCCTATATACAAAACCCCAGACTTTCACATGGTTCCATCTCCCTTGGGCCGAACATCCCGATGACCAAAAAACCTCGTCCCGATCAACCATAGATGAAATACGCAGCTTTCTATTCTTTCAAAATATAGAGCACATCTAAGCCCTCTTCTTGCTCACCCATTTATCTATTGATTGATTGACCCAGTGACCTCATAATAAACACCATGTCCGACAATCAACCCCCGCAACCGCCTCCGCCATCATCCAAAACCACCTCTTCCAACAAGCCCCCCACCACCACCTCTTCCTCCAACGCGAACCAAAACACAACCAACACCCAAAATGCAAATACAAACCAATCCCTACCATCCCGCCTCCAATCCTCCGCCACAACCCTCGCCCAAAACCTCTTCACCCCCTCCCCAGCCGACATAGCCAGAAACCTGCAACCCGGCGGCGGCAGCAGTACCAAAGCCGCTCCGCCATCGGCAACATCGGCAGCATCAGCGGCGCAGACGTTTCATGAGGAAACGGCGACTCCGGGAGGTTCGTCGGCTGGGAGGGGGATATCACGGCATGGAGATGTTGGGGATAGTTTTCGGAATGCGACGGAGAACGCGACGGGGCAGGATGGGTTGATGGAGGAGGCATACCAGTTCCAGAATGATCATGCGTATAAGGATGGGGGGTTAGAATCTGGTGTGCCTTTCTACGAGCAAGATACAGATATAAAAAGAAAGGGAAAGGGCAAGGCACCGGACCAAGACCACCAACAGGATCACGACCACCAATCCTTCGATAATACCTGGAACTCCATCACAACAACCAAAACCACCCAAATCCCACCCCAGTCCGCACACGCGCACGCACACGCAAACCCACAAGACGGCTCCGAACTCCTCACCCTCCTAACATCCCCCTCCTTCAACCCCGACTTCCCCGAACCACCCACCACCAACCCAGACTCAACCCTCATCCCCAACGACCTCTCCGATCCAACGCCCTTCCCCCTCTCACAATCCGAAATCCAAATCCTCGAATCCTTCCGCCGAAACCTCAGCCCCCACCACACCCCTCACCACCAACAGCGCAATCTGAATGCTGCAAGTCTAATCCCCGACATCGACAACTTCCTATCCACTGTCCCCGCGCAAACGCAGAATGATGCTACGGCGCTGCGCGATGCGGTGTTGACGGGGTTACCGGGGGCGGAGGAGTGGGTGGTCGCTGAAGAGAGGTATCAGGATGAGGTGTGGGGTTTTTTGAAGCCGGTGCTTGAAGAGGCGAGGAGGGAGATTGAGGAGAGGGGGGAAGAACAGGGGCAGGAAGGGGAAGGGGAGGATGGGCCAGCTGTGGCGAGGTTGAAAATGATTTTGAGGCATATGGGGGCGTAAACTGGATTGTACTACGTAGAGTATGGAGTATGGAGTATAACGACTACGTGTGTACTGGAAGTTGTATGATAATGTAGAATTAAGATCATGATACTTTACAGAATCCATTCATAACAAGACATACATGCATAACCAAAGCAAACAAATCGACAAATCAGAAAGGGGTATGTCAAACAGCACCATGCTCAGAGAATATTATACCAGTTTTCTTCCATTTCCTTATTTTTAGAACTCCAAACTAGGAGTCTGGCCCTTAACACGACCAATGACAATATGCCCAGCGTACTTAGGAACAACCTCATCGTCGTGCAGCATGGCGAATTCCTCCGTAGCATCACGGCCCATGAAGTTAAACAGAGCGTTAGCGCCACCAGGGTGCTCGTCGAGCCAGTTGGTCACGTCCAGCACGCAGCCCTTGACGACGATCCAGAGGTCATCTTTCTTGTTGTGCTCGGCGACCTCTTCCATCGTGAACTCCTTCTCGGGGACTTCGAACGGCTTGGGGGGCGTGGGCTTGGAGGCCTGCTGGCTGGCGGCGGCGGCGTTGGCTGGTGATGCACTGGCGGTAGCGGCGGCGACCTCGGGGGTAGCGCCAGAGCCGACGGGAGCACTGCCGGCGCCAGAGGCAGCGGCAGCGCCGCTCCATTCAATGGCGATCTTGCCGGGGGTGGCGGGGTCGATGTGCAGGGAGATCTGGCCCAGACGGCTCTGGGCGGTCGAGGCGCCGCCGGTGATCAGCTTCTTGAATAGGTGCTGGCTGGCGCTGTCGCCGGCCACACGACCATAGACGACACAGCCCAGCAGAGAAGAGCCACCCAGACGGTTGGCACCGTGGACACCACCGGCAAGTTCACCGCAGGCGTAGAGACCCTCGAAGGGGGCTTGCTCCGAGTTGAGGACCTGGGCGTGCTCGTTGATCTCGATACCACCCATGGTGAAGTGCAGAACAGGCTCCATGAGAGCGACGTGGAAGGTGTCGTCGACGGCGAAGGGCCCGTTGTGGAAGAAGCGCTTGGCCCAGGGGTCCTTCTTCTTGCCATCAGCGATGGCGTTGTAGTCGTCAAAGGTCTTCTGCAGCTTCTGGGGACCGCAGCCAATCTCCTTGGCCAGCTCCTGGCCGGTCATCTTCCGCATCAGACCACGGCCAGCGTAGTGACGGGTGTGGAAGTCCAGAACGTTGGAAGCCTTGCTGTTAAGGATGAGACGGATGGGCCACTTGCTCTTCTCCTTCTCCTTCCACATCTGGCCCGAGACGTAGTCACGGTGACCCAGCTCGTCGGAGAACCGGTCACCATCCGAGTTGAGCAGAAGACCACCCTCACCACGGAGGGCTTCAGCAGCCAGGAACTTGAACTTGGCCTCAGGGTCCTTGGGGTCGACAAGACCAGTGGGGTGGACCTGGACCTTGTCCATATCAATGCCGTTGGCACCAATCTCCATCAACATCTTCTGACCATCACCGGTAGCGTGGGCACCGTTGGTACTGGACAGGGCAAAGGTATCTGGGCGGTGCTCCTGCAGGAGGGACTTGTTGCCAAAGTCGGCGGCATAGCCACCAGTGGCGAGAACGACAACACCATCTGCGACTTGCGACTCGCCGTTCAATTCATATGTGACACCAGTGACAAGGTTACCATCCTTGTTAATGTTGGTAACACGGGCCTTCTTCACGATCTGGACGCGGTCGGGCTCCTGCTCGCTGATTTCTTCCAATCGCTGCATAAGCGCATATGTGATGGCCATTCCGGGGAACTTGGCATCGTGGCCACGATGTGTCCGGGGCTGGGTGTGACCACTTCAACTGGTTAGCTATGTACATTTTCGGCCGAGATGGATTGTAGACATACCCAAGACGCGAAACAAGGGTAAGATCGAGGTTGAAGACATCCTGAAGCCACTCAACAGCAGCAGCAGACTTATATGTAAGGACCTTGATCAATTCGGGACGGGCCTTGTCTCTTGCAGATTTGAGGGTGTCTTCGTAGAAGGTCTTGACGCTGTCCTGGATACCGAGGTCCGTCTGGGTGCGAGTGAGGGCGCCGTTGATACCGGAGGTAGCCTTGGTCGAGTTACCACCAAAGAAGGCTGAAAAGTCAGCGCATTGTTTTGAGACCGGGGAAATGGATTATCTTACCCTGCTTATCGAGAACGAGGACGTTTCCACCATTGAGGTAGACGGTGTGGGCGGCACTGAGACCGGACACTGCAATGGTCAGCAACGTACGATTCTGCGAAGAAGAGAGATCACGTACATCCACCACCGACGACGATGACTCTTGGGGGGGCTGCCATTGTGGATGATTAGGTATAGAGTAAAGAGTGATACGGAGTAGTAAAAGAAGAATGCCAGAGGGAAGAGGAAGAGTGCGACACGCTCTTTTAATGGGTGATCCGGGGGCGGAGGAGATCCAAGGTTCAGAAGCCGACGCTCTCTATCGGCCGAGGCTGCTCTACCGACCGAAACGGTACGTACGGGCTTCTCTCCGATTCTTTACGTTCCAGTATTGTTATGGAGTACTCCGTAGAATAGAGAAATGCTCGATTTGTTATAGCTCTATAGCTCTGAAATGTGCTATAGCTATCTGTTTTGTGCTCTTGAACTCTCGGGGGACATTATCCCGAGTACTGATAGACCTGTACATAATAGTATAGTAAGTTAGTTCACATGTTAAATGCATTTCACATGTCGCTTACGACTGCGTTATTCGTCTGGTCATACCTGTACTTTGTACTGATTATCCTGGTCACTTGGTCTGACCACTGTGTACAATGATGTATACTCAGTATGGCTACAAAAAAGAACCATTTCCACTCATATTCTATTATTTTATTGCTTTATTTTATTGCTATATAAAATATCTCTCCTATATACCATTCTTCGTATTGTATCCGTAGATATCGCCCATACAAACGCAGTGGTGCACATCTTGAATGATCGCATTACCCCGGACTTTCCCATCGGGCCATCCCAACCTCGGTCCGAGCACCACTCAGCATCCCCTAATTCTAAGCATCTCGACCTATCCCAATGCCCCGATTACATTCACCACCCTCTCCCGTGTTTATTCCACATTTAAATCTCCGTGTTAAAACTGGAGTATTCTCTGTTTACCCCAGATATTCCCCTATATTCCGGGGTTTAGTATTTACCACGTATCCCATACCGCGTATGTAATATCGGTTATTGGTCACATGAACAGAAGCCGGAAAAGACGTCATTGGTATTTGCGGGGTTTGAAGTTACTGGTTTGGGGGGGCATTTGCCGGGGTTGGGAATTCCGTGCTGGATTTGGACAGTTGAATATCAATTTTAAATGAGAGATGTGGATTGTAGAGACGCTTTTATGTTATTATTGTGGCTATCGTTACTGTGGAAGCGAAGATATATTTAACTACATGCCAGACTTGCCACGGACATCTCCAACTTCACCCTTGGTCAATTCAGTAAAGATCCAGGGAAGAGATACTCTATACAATGTTTCGTTCCCGCAGTCTTGCCACATCTCAATTCAAGACAAGGGACGTCAAAAGGTACCATATCCATTATATACATTAATCCATCCAAGTCACACTCTTGGTCACCAAAAACTCCTCCAGTCCCATCTCCGTATTAAACCGTCCCCATCCACTCGCCTTGACACCACCATGTGGCAGCGCCGGTTCATCCTGGATCGTCATGCTATTGATATGCACCGCCCTGCGCTCATTAGCATCAACTTAATCAAAAAAGCAGAGAACGGAGGGAGGACCTACCCAGACTGAATCTTCCTCGCCATCCCAAACGCCTTCCTCAAATCCTCCGTAAACACCGACGCAGACAACCCATACCCGCTCGAGTTCGCAATCCTTATAGCCTCCTTATCACTCCCAACAACCATACACGCAGCCAGCGACGCAAAGTTCTCTTCCTGCCAGACAGCCATGTCCTCCTTAACACCGCCCAGAATGACCGGTGGCATGCGCACGCAGGAGTCCGATTGGGGGATCTCTGCTGAGCCGCTGAGGGGGTAGGCGCCTGAGTCGAGCGCGCTTGTGATGAGCCTTTCGACACGGGTTTTGGAGGCTTGGTTGACGAGAGTTGGGGGTGGGGAGGCGGGATCGGCGGATGTGGTTAGGGCGGTTTTGAGGGCGGCCATGAAGGTTGGGGCGATGTCGGCGTGGACGAGGATGCGGTCTGTTGACATGCAGATTTGGCCGGACTAAACGGTCAGTACATGTTGTAGACACAGCGTAGAAGTATAGGGTACGTACGTTGAGCAAAGCACCCGCCAACACACCCTTAACAGCCGTCTCGATATTCGCATCCGCGCACACAATCGCGCTATTCTTCCCTCCCAATTCCATCAAGCACGGCTTCAGATTCTCTCCGCAAGCGCGCGCAATCTTGCGTCCCACCACCGTGCTTCCTGTGAAATTGACCTTGCGCATGGCGGGGTGCTCGATCATCGTGTTGACGACTTCGGGGGCATCCTGGGGACGGCAGGAGATCAGGTTGAGACAGCCAGCTGGCAAACCAGCTTCATGTAGAGCCTGCACGATAGCCCAGTAGCAGCGTGGGGTTTGTTCGGAGGATTTAAGAATGGTAGTGTTGCCCGCGGCGAGAGCGCACGCGGCGGAGCGGATGCCAAAGACATACGGCGCATTCCTTTCACTCATCAGTAACACATCTCAAAAACGCGAAAATCGTAGAAAGGAAGGATTACCAAGGCACAATCCCCAAAATCACCCCCATCGGCTCCTTAATAACCATCGCACTCTGCCCCTCATCCTCCACAACCGGCACACTCCCACAAATCGACGCAATCCGCCCCGCAAGATCCCTCAACATACGAATCCCCAACGGCGCCACAAACATCTGCGAAGCACCAACGTCAGCCCCCATCTCCGCTTGCATAAACCCCGCATTGCGCTCCAGATTCTTCTCCAGAATATCAGCTGCTTTCAGGAGGATGCCGCGGCGGACGGCCGGTTTTGTCGCGGACCAGGTAGGGAATGCGGCGGAGGCGGAATCGACAGCGCGGAGGGCATCGGCGGGGGATGCGGCGGCGGCGGTCCAGCAGGGTTGGTTTGTGTAGGGACTGGTTACGGCGAAGGAGGCGGAGGGGTTGTATTCCTCGACGCCGTTGATGATGAGGGGGACTGTTGGGAGGGACATTTTTCCCCCTATTCTATGGGTATAGTATGCAATGGTGTAGAGCACGGAGTTAACCTCTACTGGGGTTTGTAATTGATATAATTCAGTGTACTCTGTACTAGCAGTTCTACCAAGAATTACTAGCACATAATGCACAGGGTACCAAGGCTAACAACATCTGTCATGTGGGGTATCTTTATCAACGACATTGACAGCAAAAAGGGGCTCCTAATTCAATCGGTCCATGATAAACAGCATCCGTTAACTTAACTCGTTTCGTCCATACATACCCATATGTACCCCAAATCTCCAACATTCTGCAGAAAGCATTGAAACCCCCCCCCACCATTTACACAAGGTACTCCTAAAGAGGAAAGAAAAAATTTTTTTTTTTTCAATCGCGGTCCACTCCGGACAAGCGTTAGTCGCGGGATAGGGGCGGCGATCAACTGCCGAGGTGATGCCAGCGAGTGTAAACGGGGCAATACTAGGATACAGTGCAGCTCGGTTCAGTGCTCGCATAATTCCGAGTAATTAAGCTGGTGATTCCGAAAGTTGACTACGAGGGGATCATCGCGTTCGACCGTTGAACTAGTTAGTGAGCGCGACGGAAGGTTTTGCCAGGGTCGGTGCTTTAATGTGCTTGTCTGCTTTTGCTTTTGTTCGTCAGGCGTGCGAGAACCCCTGGAATCATGCAATGCAATGCAATATGCAATGTTGGACCAAGCTGTCAGTGGTTTCTTTTTCTTATCAAATTGGTCAATTAAGCGGGTCTCGTCCCAAGCCATTGGTTTTCCGCACTGAATAGGGCCCTAGTGCATCCGGAATGGGAAAGTAGCAGCGCAATGACTTCACCATCCAAAAGGATATTGTTCAGTATTTACACACTACTGAATGCTTATTTCTAGGGTACCGCGAGTAAATTATTCATTATCACTCGCTAACGATGCTCATTCCGGGGCCTCGTCAGCATAACCCACAGCACCATGGACACTCACTAATGATCCCCTCCCGGCAACCCCGGAAAGCCCATAAACTCGTTTAACAACGGGGATTTCCCTTCCTGGCCGATGTTGAATAGTAGTACCATGTGCCATCCATGGTTCTTCAGAGGGACACAAAAATGTGGCAGAATGTGCCAGCCTCACGCCACACCGGACAGCACTGTTCAACAACGGAATATAGCCGATCCGGTAATCCCCCGAGCACAAAATTATAAAAATCTAGAGCACACAATTGAGGACGTGTTTTACAAGGTGATAGTTCTGTCAATAAAACGATAAAACAAAGTCTCAGCTGCCTCGACCTGTAACTAACCATTGAACCCAATTCAATCCGCCCGGTTCCAAGGTTCCCTAGGCTGCCGATAGACTTTCGGCAACCACTGAGAGTTGGCCTAGGGCAGAATTGCTTTTGGTTGACAGTTTGTCATCTCGATAGAGTGTACTGCACTAATTGACAGTGACAACGACAGTACGGTACGTAGAGAGAAAAAGGGTCGTTATCCCCTTCACCTCACCCCGGAGGGAAAGGCATCAGCAGAATTGCGGTCAAAAATGGCCTACCCTCTTTCCCCAAAGGGCAAGGAGGGACAGAAATTGAGTGGCCCACTGTGTACGCGTTGGTGGTTGGGCGACTTGACTTTTGCGGGATCAAGGGGCGACGATCGTGTTCAGGACTGAGAGGATTATCTGGAGTGTAGGTTACAAGGTTGATAGTACACAGATATGGGATAACTGAACCATGAAACCATTGAGTGAAATCCGTGGTCTCGGTCTGTGCAAATATTCAGAACACACAAATACAAGACAAATATCAAAACTCCGGAGGTCTACGGTGTTTGTATCAGGGTGTTCGCCAAGTACCCTGCCTCGGCGCACATTTATCAATCAGCGGGTCTTGTTCCACCGTTCGATTCACACGTGGTGGCGTGTCGAACTGAATGATACATCGAGTCGTGTAGAATCCACATTCAAGGGTTTTCTTCAGCAGTTGCAGACTGCATAATGTAGAATACCACTGACACATGCACATTAACGCGCTCCGGAATCTGAAAATTGCATCGATATCAAATCCATGGATCGGCAGCCCACGAGGTCCCAAATTGACTTCGTTAGTCCCGTCTGCCAATTCCACAATTGTTTGACTATCTCTGGCTGAGTGCACCCCATTGCCTCATCCCACTGGACCACACAAGGGATAGCAGCCAACAGCACTGGCCGATGTGCGAACCTCGAACCCACTCTTTCGTAGAGCACTTGCAGAAAAAAAAAGGAATGATAAAAGTTTTCTCTCTTTTCAGTGGTGACGCTGGCGACTCCATAGCGGAGTCTTTCGTTCGCAGTGCGCTGAACCAGGGTACCTATGTAGTCATTGTGGTTTTGATCAGGGCAATATGTAGGCTCTTTCCCCCTCTTCTGTCTCTCTCTTTTCTTTTTTCCTTCCCCCAAGATTCTCTTGTTAATCTTCCTCCGGATTGTCCGGAGTCTTCTTGTTTGTACCCCATTCACATTAACGGTGGAGAATACAATACAGGGCATGGGCAGATCAACCCGCATGCTCTTGATATTGCCCATTTAACCGTTATCATTGATCACGCTCCTTATCTTTCAAAAAGTCGCTCCTTTAAACATATCCCTCCAAAAGAAAAAGAAAATGCCTTCCCTCAACTACAGAGGGGCCGAGATGGTCGCCATCGTCACGGTCCTGGTCGGCATCTCGTTCCTCGCAGTCCTCCTGCGAGTGTACGCCCGGTTCAAGCGTCAGGTCCGATTCGGGATTGACGATTATCTGTGTTTCGTTTCGATGGGCCTCCTGTTTGCCATGTTGATCGAGTTAGGTTTATGTGAGTCTAGCAGCAATCCATCCATCCACAACCAAGAACAAATACTGACAACAACAGGGTGCACAATCGGTGGCGACGGCAAACACCAAGCCGACCTCGACATGACAACCATGCTCAACTTCGGCAAGATCTTCCTCGCAAACCAATTCACCTACTTCCTCCTCTGCCCCGCCATCAAAACCTCCATCATCTGCTTCTACCGCCGCGTCTTCACAACCCCCAAATTCCAACACATGACCTTCGCCCTCAACACCCTCATCGTCACCTGGGCCGCGGGCATCATCATCGCCTGTGGCCTGCAGTGCCGCCCTATCAAATCCTTCTGGGACCCCCGCGTCGACGGCAAATGTTTCGACCAGAACGAGTTCCTCGTCGTGAACCAGGTCTTCAACGTCGTTATCGATTTTGTGATTCTTGCGCTGCCCGTGCCGATGATTTGGAATTTGCAGCGTGCGTGGCAGGATAAGCTTGCGCTGAATGGTGTCTTTGCGTTGGGTATCTTCGTTTGCTTTGCGAGTATCTATCGTATCGTCGTGCTGTTTTGGATTAATCCCGCCGATACCACGTATACCGTGTACCAAGCGACATTGTGGACGCATATCGAGCCATCCATTGGTCTGATCTGTTCCTGTTTGCCGATTATCCGTGGCCTGTTCCCAAAACTTAGGTTCCCCGGCGGCTCGTCGAAGCAGAAGTATGGATATGGTACGGCACCGTACTATCTGTCCACCAGTGCGTCGCATTTTGCGACTTCCACGGGTCCCAGATCGCCGGGTATCGATTACTATATCAAGATGGAGGAGGGTATTCTTTCGCGGCCTGAGACACGGAAGGAGACTGAGACTATTGCTTACCCTGCTGATTCGAAACTCGATCTTTCTAGCCCTGGTGGAATCGCTGTTCGAACGGAAATCGATGTTACCCAGGATGCGGCCTCGGCCAAGTCTATCCGATAGTCCATCGTTTCCTCACCCTGTCTATTTTTCTCATTTCTTATCCAACTCACTGTCACGCCCATTCACTATAATACCCCCACGCTCGTGTATATATCCTACTCATGTTTCCTTACCTTTTGTTATACATTAATACCCTTATGAAGCAAGCGCATGTCTCATGATTTGAAGAGGTTGACAATTTGATGTTTGCCGGATAACCTTTTTGAATTGAATTTCATACGACCATTATCTTCGTCATTTCATCAGCAATCGTACATGTCATTAATGTACCATCTGTCCTGCAGCAAAATCCTATGCCATATTAGCATCAAGCACAAACTGTAGATGGTAAATGACTTACCGGAAATGCATCCACAATACTTGCAGCCACTCTTTCTGTATCTTCCGCCAGTCCTTGAACCCCCGCATCCCATTGCCGGATATGTCGCCCCGGCGCCGCAGTGCTGACATTGCCCGAGTCAAAGTAGATGACGCCCGCAATCTGATCAATACTTCCTTTCAACCGCTCCTGCTCGACCATCCGCGCCGCATACGCCTCCGCCTTCTCACCGGCCGTGAACTCTCCGCTCTCTTTGAGACCCAAAATAGCCCCCAGCGCGTCCGTCTTGATGTTCTCGTACAGCTTGCTGGCTGCCACCAGGTTGTGCTCGACCACCGCTTTATCCAAAACCGTCGTGCCGTCAGCCGTCCGTGCGAGCTGGTGCGGGGCCAACCGTTCCGAAAACGCAGCAACCTCCTCCGCATTCAAAAGCCGATCCAGGAACATCTTCTCTAGAATTCCAAACTCTTCCACTGATGTAGCCCTGTCATCCTTGTAGAGCGTAGAAAGAGTACGAGAACGCTGGGGTCCCGCAGGCGCAAGAACAGCACACCGAATAGCCGCAGCAAGAGCCTGAAGGCGATCGTTCTCATCGACACCAGCCGCCAGACTCACATTGAAGTATTCCTGACTAGCATCAAGGAACCGACGACGAGCATCCAGAATCCGAGCCTGCGAGAGCTTGAAGTGCAACATCAACTCATGGTCATCGATTTTACTTGGTAGGTTCTTAATCCGGTTCAAGAACGCCTCCGCACTAGTGGTATCATCATCCTCGAGATACAACCGCACAATCCGAATCCATAACCGCACCTTGGCCGAGTCGGAAACCAACCGCTGCGAACTATCAACGTGGATCCCCTGCAACGTCCTCGCTGCCAATGAATACTCCTCTTCCGCCTCGTATGCATCCGCCAACAACTCTCGTAGCTGAGCATCCTGCTCCTCGACCGACGTCGAACGAGACTGCAGCAGTGTCACGGCATGCTGGCCCACTTTGATCTTGGTTTCTGCGGGGAGTTTTTGCAAGGTGGCGATAAAGGCATCGAGGATGGGACGGGCTGCGACAATACTGATATCTTCGGTCAGGACGGAGTCGAGGTAGTAGATGAGGTCTTGGGCGAGTTCGTGTTCGGATGAGGTTGTGACGATTTCGGAGAGGAGGTTGTTGTAGAGTTGGAGTTTGTTTTGGGGGTTTCCGGAGGTTTCGATCTCCGCTAAAGCGGAGGTAATTTTCTGGGAGGCCATTTATCTGTAGTTTGCCTCGTAGGAGGATGGTCTGTCGGGATGGGGGGATGTGGAGTGGTGATGGTGATAAAGAGAGCGGCAGTTGGATAGAAGCTTGGCTTATCGATAAGAGCTGAGGCTTAAGTCGTGCAGGTAAATAAAAGCAATACAAACAATCGCCCTGTTGTTTGTGAAAGTTTCAGAGCAAATACATATTTACTTTTTTAATTCTATGTTATTCTTTCTTTTTGCCTTGTGTGTTGGTTAGGTCACTTTTACTCGTGCTGGTGGTTTGCTTGTATCGGCCTCGGTATTTGATCATTTCCTACCAAGGAAGAGAGAAAAATGAGGAGGAAAAGGAAAAGAGTGGGAAGGATAGGCTTTTATGGACAATGCTATTTTGCATTTAGTAGTATTCTATTCTTCTATTCAGCAACATTTAACAGCAGACAACAGACTCCGTAGCATACAGTACTTGTAGTACTTGTAGTAGTAAGTGCTGCGCCGCCACCGCCTTCGACTTCTGCGTTCTTCTGCATCTCAGCGACAAGGCCGAGCCACTGTTATTACTACCGCTACATCACTCCCATCGCAACCCGACTCCCGATCTTCACCGTCCTTGAACGCCGATTCCTTGCAGTCGCATCGCATTGCGCTCCTCAGATAACCGGGAAATTTTCGACGCTCTAACTTCCCGCCGTTTGCGCCGCCATGTCCCAAGTCAAGCAGGAGGACGGTTCGCCGTATATTAAGCCCGACCTGGACAGCAAGGAGGGGATCGGTTCGTTTGATGATGAAGACGATCTATACGAAGACGCGGGAGATTTGGACTTCACAAACTCTACACAGAATGTGTGGCTTTCGCGGATTCCTCGGTCGCTATGGGAGCATTGGTCTAAGCTGGATGACGATGAAGAGATTCAGGTTGGGACGATTAGGATAGAAGGGGAACCGAATGATATTAAACGGGTGCGTTTTTCACTCCGTCTGCACTGATTTCTGTCTTGTGCGTTGCTGATGGTTATACCGACTTGTCTAGGTCAGTTTGCGCATTAATGAACGGGAAGACAACCGGGATATTCCCAAAGACTACACCCTGCAACGCCAAACAATGCTCGCCGGAGCTACGCATTCGACGCAAAATACATATGTCTTTACCGAGAAGGATATCCCTGGGGTGGAGAATCGGTTAGCCACGTTTGGGGAGACGCGGTCGGCTTTGTACGAAGCGATGAAACGAGAAGCTCGGAAAAAGGATCTCAAGAAGAAATGGGAGCCTTATGTTCGGAAGACAGTACCAAGTACGTTGGACATCGATAGGTTGTGAAAAGCATAGGACTGACTGGATACAGAACGAACGGGTCTTGTTGGAAGCGTCGGTGAGGAGTTCAATACTCTTCCTGTCGAGAACGAGGAGTTCCGGATGATTTCAGAGAGGAAGGCTTTGGAGGCGCTCAAGCCCAAGCGCGAAACCGTCTTCATCGACAAAGTACCAGGCAAGCTGCTCCAGCCGCGGAATGCGTTGCCTGGAGACAGGAGTGCCTTTGTGGTAAGTTTCGCGGTGTCTTTACTATTCTGTATAGCATTGTATCTCACACTTCCTCCAGCAAGCAACAAAACCCGCCAAAGGCAAGGCACAAGAAAACAAAACCACCCGTATGCCGCAAAACGAACTGCTGGATCTTGTTTACCAATGCTTCCGCGAATACAAATATTGGCCATTTAAGGCGCTCAAGGCACGACTCCGGCAACCAGAGGCATATCTCAAGCAGACTCTGGAGATGGTGGCGCATCTGGTCAAATCTGGTGACTTTTCGATGACCTGGGAGTTGAAACCTGAGGCCAAGGAAAGCAGTTATGCAAATGCGTTTGGCTACGGTGATGCCAAGGACGAGGCCGCACCGGGAGCCGATTTGAACATGGACGATGTTTCTGATGAGGATCCGGACGAAGAGATGCAGTTTGAGAATGTGGCCTAGTGTCGTGGATGGGGGTTCTATATGTAGCATATAAGCAGATTACGGCGTTTATATTGGTTGGATCGTATATGGCGGGCATCTGGACTAGATATTTAATGGATTCTCTTTCATACTCTGAATCTTTCCTTCATGACCGTTTCCCTATGGGGTAATGAGCAGAACTGTAGACCACGTGATTTTGACCGCCACAGCACTTGCCTCTCCTGCGGGCTGCATCATCAGCATCTACGCTGCGCCCACCGCAAACAATTTTGAAAGAGGAGGTATCTCGTTGAAAAAAAATAAAAATAAAAATAAAAAAACCAAGAGTGGTATCCGATATATACCCAATATGTCCGAAGACCAAGATTTATTGTCCAAAATCAGCCAGCTTGCTGGTAAGCTGAACGATGCAACTTTTATTTACTTGTGCGCACTCGCTCATCTGAACCGTGCATTCTTTTAGGCCAGATCAATCGACACAAGAACCAATCCACACAAGGCCAGAACGAGTTCGCCCCAGCTCCCTACGCGACGCGCCATGACACCTCTCGCTGGGCACCGTATCGAGGACGACCCTACGCGCCGCGGGGACGACCTGCACCCCATCGTCACCGGACCTTGGTCTTGAATAACACGGCGGGGCCAGGACAATCCTCTGGCTCGACTCCCGCATCTACACCTGGTGCTCCTGCGACAGAGAACAACGAGGCACCGACATCGACGTCCAACGGATGGGTTGCGAAACGCGATCGCCATATGCAACTGATCAACTCGGCCGTCTACGACAAGGAAGCGCAGACGAGGGCGAAAGCGATGGAGGATACCCGCAAGGCAAAGGCGCAGAAAAAGACCCAGGTCGAACAGGCCAAGGTGCTCAGCTACGCTCAGGGTGTTGGAAGACAGTTCCCGCCTCCGACTGTTGCTGCTGCGCCGGCCGCTGCTGCTCATCCAGCGGGGTATCAGCTTTTCTTCAATGATATTCCGTTTAGGATAGCAAGAGGCGGAAGCAAATTGATCCGCATGTCCAGTGCGACTCCCGATGATTCTGATATGATGTGTTATTCGAGGACTGGCTTACCAGGAGCACCAGATGATCCGAATACCGCCAACAATACGCCGAAGAGAGTCTCCGTTGCGGGTGTCACGTTTGTCCGGAGCAAGAATGGAAATCTTCATCGACTTGGTGCGGTGACTTCGAAAAGGTGGCGGTTTACTACTCGATTTTGTGAATCAAACACTCACGGTGCATATAGGAACCCCACGACGGTCAAGAAGAAGAATGAACTTTGCAAGAGATTTACTACGACGGGTACCCAATTCCCTCAAGGCCGACATTTTCTTTCTTTTCTTTCTTCGTCATTTCATGTTTTTAGTTTGTTGATATCTATACTGATTCCCTGACCAGGTACCTGCTACAAAGGGCCGTCGTGCTTCTATATCCACGATCCAAACAAAGTCGCTATTTGCAAAGAATTCCTGCATGGAAAATGCAGCGCAGGTATTGATTGCGATCTTTCCCATCAACCATCGCCCCACAGATCCCCTACTTGTCTGCACTTCCTTCGGGGTCGCTGCGCGAACCCGGAGTGCCCGTATGCTCACGTCCGGGTGACGCCTGGCGCACCTGTCTGCAGGAATTTCGCAAATCTGGGCTACTGTGAGAAGGGGGCGGACTGCGAAGAGCGCCACGTGAACGAGTGTCCCGATTACGCCAACACTGGAGTTTGCAACAGGAAACATTGCCGTCTGCCTCATGTGGACCGGGCGGGTCAAATGAAGAATGCAGCCATCAGAGCGGAAGGGCCCCAGGATGATGAGTCCGATGCCTCCAGTGAGGAAGAAGAATACGACGAGATCGACTCTGATGACGTCGACTCAGGCGATGAAGATCCGGAATTCATCGAGGGCGTCGACACTGGCGAGCTTTCGCAGCAGCAGGATTTTGTCCATTTTTAGTTCTTACTGCATACTAACTGTAGATACGTCTCTGTACGATGGACCCGGGCCGGTGCCACGACATGTATACCCGATGGAGGCGGATACCCACCACGTTGCAACGAGCTGCATGAACATTGGAAGTTGCTTGGGAGCGTTTATTGGTTTTGTTATGTATCCGTATCGATACCTTTTTTATTGATTAGGTAGCGTATTGAATGGGTCGTTCATTTGTTGCATTGCTTTGATTGTTTGAGCACGTTTGTCTGTAGTCCAGTATCTATTTTCTTCTCTTTTCTTTTTTAAGGAACTAGCATTCAAGGTTAATGCAGTCTTCTACTCTATACTCCGTACATGAATTTGCTATAGCGGAGCTATATATAAATTTCACAATAAAAGGAACTACGACAGACATCCAAATCTAAGGGAACATCAAGTACATTGCTGGAAAGTAGCAATGATTGGGATGATAATCGACATCGAGGCCTGTCGCTCTCATCAGATCTCACCGGCCCAGTTTTATGAGATTCAAGTGGATGTGAACTGCGCCCACAAGTATGGCAATGGATTTGTCTCGTTCATTGAACGACTCTACGGAAAAGGGATCTCGGTCAATGACCTACTGGATCATCCTAAATTGCTAAATGAGCGGGCACAACATCTGAGCACCCTCTGCTTTCTACTACCGAATGGATTTAGGAGTAACGCTCTAGAAGCCCCATCATCAGAGATTATTGTTTGCTTAGACGAAGCCCGTTCATTGTTAGACAATGACGACTTATCGATTTTCCGTGCTTTCAGGCATGCCCTGAGAGACTTATTTGATGATTACAGACATTTGTTTGGCGTTTTGTTAGACACAACGTCGAGGATTATCAATTTCTCGCCTTCGGTACTACAAGATCCCAGCATGAAGGAAAGACCATCGACGGATTACATTGGTGAACTATTTTCGCCTATTTTTGCCCTGAACACATTTGATGTGTGGGGCCATAAGGGCTACACTGGCCTTGATTTTACAAGCTCCAATCAAACACGACACTAGCTTTTCTCCCTCGGCCAGCCTCTGTGGGCAGACTTTTTTGAGGCTGGAGAAAATTTGAACGATGTTTCGAGCCTAGCAAAAGCCAAGATATCACAAGCCCCTTCCCTCGCGCTTCTTTCGTACTGTGTAAGATTTCTGATCACCGGCCAATCCATGGGCGAGGCATACGTCGCCGAGCACCTCAGGTATATCATATCAATCAACAAGGACCGAACTTTCACCCAAACAATACAGCCTAGTGAGCCTGTTCTGGCGCACGCCGCCATACAGCTTCTCTCGCACAGGCCAAGACTGCTAGACTCTTTGAACGCTTTCCATGCAACTTGTTTACGGGCGACAATAGACATTGGGGACATCGGAGAGCTGGTGGCCGCAATGACCATCATATTTTCAGTTGTTCTTGCCCAGGTAACGACAGGAGACCGCCTACCTCGCCTAATGAAGGTCGAGGCCTTCTTTGGTTTACTTTTTGGGGTCAGCTTCGGACAACAAGTTGCTAATCAAATCAAAGGAAAAGACGGACTCCAGGACATCTGGACCAATGGATATATGGTATGCAACCATTTTGTCCATATTTACAACCAGCCCGATAAGTCCACGATTCGTGCTGCCTTCTCGTGCGGGGCCGGCATTATACTTCCACCCAGATACCCTAGCGCCGACCTCTTAATTCCAATCAAACCCATTGGGGGCTTCGTGGACAAGAAAAGCATCACTTATCTGTTGGTGCAGGTCAAGAATAGGGCTGATGACACCATGATGTCCGGCCTGAGCATCGAAGCAGCAAGCCCTGTAATGAGCGCTGCCAAGGAGCTGGGGCTAACTCTCAAGTACTTTGGTCTGATTATGTGCCTCAGGGGACAGAAAGACGAAGCGAGGAGCCAAGGGCGAGAAGAAGGCACACATCCGGGCTCTTCTTGAAATGCATGAATAATGCATTGGAAATTGTGTCGTTTGTCTCTTAGGAGTTCGTTAGTTAGTACAGCTTAGATTGCCAGAATGAAACCAGCTAAATTTGCTTTGATTCTCCAACACGCGCCCAAGTTAGACGCGGGTTCAGCATGCTTTCCAGTGTCAAACTGAGCGATTATTCTGTTAAAATGCCGTTATGACCAATTAAGAACAAATTGAGTCTATAGTTAATTTGCTAGAGGTCTTGTTTCACTTGACCCCATATAATACAGATGAAGTAATACTCTTTTCTTTTCAATAAGAGTACGGTGTATACCAGTAGATATTTCGAGAAAAAAATAATAATAAAATAATAATAATAATAATAAAAGATGAAGTGTTTTTCTTTGAAGCCATTTGATCTAATTGCCGGATGAATAAGATGGACTTAGGGCTAGAGATTGAATGCCACATCGTAAGAGCTATTTCTAGGTACTAAAGATAATGGATACTGATACCATGTTGCTACTGCCGTATTCAATTTACTGGTCTCTAGTCAAAAACCAGCGGTATGAGCCGTGCTGGGCCGTGGGTGTTTTCGGGGCTGATATAACAATATCCCAGCGGAGATGACTTGGGTGATTAGATTTCTGACAAATTTGGTCATTCTGGAGAGTGATATATTTTTTGAAAACAAGTTGATTACAGACCTACTTTTCTATGGGAGATGTCAAGAGTTCCATGATGTAATAAGTACAAACAAACTTGCCATAGACTGATAAGGACAACATTTTATAGCTGGGAGACGAGATTGACTAATACAGTACACAGGGTGTAGTTGACGATGAAGAGATCGAAAAAGAGATGTGAAATACAAAGCCAATTGTCGGACCATGCGCTGAGGTCCTCATAACATGACCGTAGAAGATATGCCACTTCATAGCTAAGTGTGTAAAGCAATGTGTGAATGATGGAAACTGTTTAATCGACCGATTCAAGCTGCAATGCAGTGAGTAACAGCTGTATCAGTATTAAGTCAGCACAAAAGTAGAAAGAATTGGAAAATAAGCAGCGTCCTGTATCGATTCGCTTTTCTTTGCTGTACAGCTGAGCGGATCAGATCGATCGGGGCATATTGATTGGTGGCCTTGTTTGTTAGGTCTTCATCCTCGTTTTTCGTCTGATCTGTGCCAGATCGGTATTGTAGTGTGTCTCTGCATGGAGATGGATGGAGAATAGCGAATGGAGAATGGAGGATAGGACAGGGGACAATGGGATTGTTTCCCTGTATGTTTGTAGAAAACGTTGTACAAGTTACGGGCTGGTAGTCGTCATAGTAGTTTTTATTCGGAGTAATTGCACAGCGTACTCCGCTTGGTAATAGCTATGGCATGGTTGTAGTTGGATGAAGATGAATGATCTACATTTAGATATCCTATCTATGCGAAAGAATACATCCCACGTTTAACTACGCCTAGCTACTCCGAACGTGGTATGGATAATACCAGGGACCCTGTAAGCCAATACATCGATAAATACAGAGCACAGGTACTTTAGATCTGAGATTGGGCAACAATGATAATATACATGTACCTGTACATGTAGCTGTTGCTGGTGCTGCAGATGTAGGAGGACAAGAGCTTTGTGTGTGTATTGCGTATGTTGCGGTTGCGTTTGGGTGTATGCGTGAGTGTGTGTATGTGTATGGGTACTTGTACTTCGTGCTCGGAAATGCGAGTTGGGGGAGGAGATAGGTTGATACATAGTGGGTGTTGATGAGATAGCGGTACCTTACTGTGCTCAGTATCTCTGTACTCCGTAATGAGCAGTACAGAGCAATACAATAAATACATATTCGCCCCTCGCCCACAATCTAGAAAAAAAAAAAAAAAAAAAAAAAAGAAAAGCAGATCAATGATTCTCCCTCAGCCCCAACTCTATTCTCCCTTCAAAGTGGAAATCGCTAATATCAAAAACCAAGCTAAGATGGGGGGCTACGAGGGGGCCTTGCGAATCTGGAGTCCACCGAAACCAGTAAACCGTTACAATTGGATCGGAGTGTTCTGTTCACCGCCAGGATGGCTAATCTACAGCCATCGGCTACGAAAGTCTGTTTCCTCGTGCGAGTACTCTGTATGGAGTGGGAAAAAGTATGACGGACGGGTCCGAGGCTGTTGGTCTGGAATGTATGCAGGAGTCGGAGTAGGAGCTTGGGGGCGAAGAAGACGCGCTTTGGTTTGAGTTAGGTTTTATTTTATTCTATTTATTATTATTAATATTATCATTATTATTATTATTATTATTATTATTTTTTTGGGTCGATGGCGAGTTCGAGTTTGTTTATTCCTCAGATCACGAGGTGATTTTTGATTGTTGTATTTTGTATTGTATCCAGGGGTTGAGCATCGCCATCGCTGAGAATGTACGGCCGAACCGAGGGGTTCCGGAAGAAATCCTCGAATCCGGAGATCCTGCTTACTTACCCTTTATGGTTATCGTTGAGATACAAGCACACCCCTGTCATAGAATGGCAAACGTTATCCTCGATTAACCCGATCCGGAAACCAGTGGACAGCGACGGTGATGCTAAAATGATGCTGATGCTGATGCTGAGCTGAACGGGTCACACTTGCTGATCGAGGAAATGTTTCATGTCTCTGTCAGTCAATCGAAAATAGGTGACACTGTAATTGGCAGACAAGCCGGAAATACCGAGAGATACTGTTGGGGATGTTAAGAGCCGAACGGAATCTGATTTGGAATGATCACTCGACCGAGGGTACTCCGGACTGGGCCCGGAGTATTCATACTCGTAATGTACTTGTAAACATCGTGCAAATCCCATCCATATGGTAGAGATCCTGCATGCAGGTCTGGTATGTACGTCCGACCGTACGTACTGACCAAGTGCCGTCATGACTGACAGAAAGAACCTGCACCGCACAGACAGATCCGAGATGCTGGTCAGCTTGCCCAAGTTTTGACGAGGGGGTAGAACGGAGATGATTCGGCAGGGGAGTAAGAAAGTTGAAGCTTATTGATTGCCTAACTTCCGGCACTTATTTTGGTACCTTGTCTGTAGTGCGTACTTCCTCCTGCTTGATTGCTAGCTATCGAGTCCCCGAACATACCTGCAGAAACTGCCAGCATTGGTAAAAGCCGTGACATCCGAACGGACCGATACAAGCCCCCTCCCCCCGCAGAAGCAGTGATGCCCTAAAGCCAAGCCCGATAGCCCTATTACTTGTTACTTGTATGAAAAGGAAAGAGTCTCGTGGTGGTTAGTGATTGATCTGTGCAGTGGATGCGAGTGTTGTGCTTCCGTTGGACGCAAAGCACGAGCCACTAAACCCAAACGGGAGTGGATCATTGATCTCGGGCCGGCCCTTGACCAGATGTGGTGGTTTACTGGTAGGTATTACAATAGCTATTGGTAAGAATAGAGTCTATGAGTATGGAGTGCTATGGATATAGACTCAGTTCAGTCTCTACTATAGAGTACAGAAGTACTTGTACGGAATACTGGGAGTGAAGATGATGCTGACCATGATCTGCCCCGCCTGTAATACCGTACTGTACATACGACGTTGATCATGATCATGGCACAGACATCTGATCATTTGGGCATCTACTGCTATACAAAAGTACAAAAGTACTACTTGTATATTCACTAATGAGTAGAGTACTCTGTACAGAGTGGAATATGCAGTACTAGAATAGAGTACTCCAGATCAAACTTAGGTAACTGACTCGTATGAGATCTCTTGGTCTGTGTAAGATCTGTAATACCAGTACCATACTGGAAAAGTAGATTGGGCTAAAATGATGCTGAACCATGGTACATGGATGTTAGTGTAAATGTATTCCTGTCCATCGAAACAGCAGCAGAGCATTAGAGCTACCTGCTACTACATAATCAACACTATAACGGACTTGGTACCAGTTATACATACCCGCTGCACGTCTGCCCAAAACCACATACAAAGCATCCAATCACGGCCATTCGCCAAACTCGGGAGGCTCTCAGAATTCGTTGCATTTTATTTTATTTTTGTTTGACCGCTAGTGACTGATCCGCATCTCTGATACCGAGTATTATTCTTTTGATATTCAGTATTCAGTATTTTCGTGTATTATGTAGAGTGCTCTACTACTTATCTACCTCTCTTTCGCCCCCTCCTCCTCAACTCTCTTTCTTCCTGTCCAACCGGTGGTACAACATCAAAAAAGAGATCCGATTCTCTTCTCTGAATTCTCTTTTCTTCTCTTCTTCTTTTATGGTGCTTTTATTGTGTTTGTTTCTCATTTTTCTTCCTTTTTTCCTTGAAACTTCCATTTCTCCATCACCCCACCTTTGTATATATCCTTTTTTTTTTTTTTTTTTTTCTCTTTCTTACACACCGCCTCTTCCTGCTCCATCCGACTCCATCGTCCATCTCCATCTCCTCCTATTCTTGCTGGGATTGAAAAAGATGGCCCGGTATTCTCAGCCATCTTCCTTCGACTTTTATCAACAATCGCCTACTGCCCTCGAGGCAAAACCTTCCTTTCCCGAAGAGGACGAGATGAGTGTGTTGGATGATAAGATCCTCGATCCCACGACTTCTCCAGAACTGTCTTCCTCTATTTCCGATCACCGTCGCCCTTCGTCGTATGACCAGGACGCCTTCTCGCATCGGGATTCTATCTGGTCCGACTATTCCTCTTCCTCTCACTCTCGTCACAACTCGCAGGTCGGGCATACCATGTTTGATTCCGCCCCCTCCAACCCTTTCATGCGTCTGGACGCACCTCATCCCGCTGCTACGGCTGCTTCTTCTTCCACCTCCTACGGGCATCACGCTCCCTGGTCCCTATCGAGAGAATCGGGTTCTTGCACCCCGACCGCCCTCTATGACCACTTCTCTGGTGAGCTCGACAGCAACTCTTCTGCTCCCTTCACTGGCGGTGCTGTCGGCCCCGTGAGTGCCATCAACTTCCCCTCCATGTCCTACCGCAACATGGCCTTTGCCGCCCCGGGTGCCGTTGCC